TAGACACATATTTGTCCTATAAAAAAAAACACTAATACTATTTTTGGGGAAATGAAACAACAAACCATAAAATGCCAGAAGCTAAAATAATTTCATTTTGATAAGTTTTTGAGGAAGCAAAAAAGCAATTTCTTCCCTAGTGAATCCTGTATCTATAACTTGTATTTTCTATAGGTCTTTAAATCCAGAATTATGTGAATATAATGAAATGTCAGAGTTCATCGATCATGTATTACTCACTACTTACAGGTTTATGTATTTGTTTTTTAAGAGGGATTGGGAAGGGAAGAGGCTCAAAGTTTATGTTAGAACAGGGCGGTCCTATCCTTACAGAGTTTATAGCTGTGTAAAGAGATATGACACAAACATAAGTGTTATAACAATTGTTTTAAAAATGAGTTCTGGGTGAGGTCTGAGGAGGAAAAGATCATTACGTTGGGGAAAGGAGGTGCCAGGGAAAGCTTTTCTAGCAGAGGCAGCATTTGAAACAGATTTTAAAGGATGGTTGGAAATTTAACAGGTAGTGTGGTGATCTATATATCCAGCCCCAGCAGGCTCTCTCTTGACTGCCGGTTCTTTATTCCCAGCTGGTTAATGGACATTTCAAGCTAGATGCATCATAGGCATCTCAGACTCAGTATGTCCAACACAGAACCCATTATCTTTCTCAACAAACCCATCCCACTTCTGAACTTCCCTACTTCTTTCAAACCCTCCACTCTTCTTTTAATCTTGCAGGTTCCTATCATTGGTGCTTTCCTCTATTCTTCTCTCCCTCTGAACCCTACCTACCCAGTCAGTTGACCTATCTTACTACGTCTTCATCCACAGCACCTACTCACACAGCTCCTATTTTAATTCAGTCCTATATCACCTCTTGCCTGGGCTGTCGCAATGGCCTTCTAACTGGTCTCCTCACCTTAAGTCTCTCTCAACTCCCATCCATCTTCCACTGAGCTGCCAAAGTGATTTTCCTCACGTGTAAGTCTGACCACGATACTCCTCTGCCACTTAATATGCTGGAATTGGATAAGATATAAAATTCTCTGTTTGGTTTTTAAAACTCTCATTCACAACTTGTTCCCAGCCTGTTTTTCCAGCGTCATTATACATTATTCCTCTCCCTAAACTCTTTGGTTCTTCCCTCTCTGTGCCTTTATGTTCATTGTCCTCCATGCCTAGATGGAATCTCCTCATCACTTTAACCTGGTGGAACCCTTAATTCCTTCAAGATTTATTTTCAGCACCACCTTCTACATGTAGTCTTTCTGGATCATCCAACTACTAGCACCATCTTTTCCTAAACTACCTTATATTTAATTTGCATTCATTCTTCATATACTTAAAGGAACACCTTGTCTTCCCCTGGTAGGATATAAATTTCCTTAGTGCAGGGATTGTTTTATTTTCATTTTCGCACTTCATATATATCTACTACAGTGGCTGGCATATTGTGGGTGCTCAATAACTGTTTATTGATTGGTAGAGGAAGGGCGTTCCACATATAGAGGATAGACGAATGGAGGCATGGAGGAAGGCAAGTCTGAGGGTGTTTATGGGGAATAGCTAATAATCCTGGACAGAACATGGGAAGGCATGTAGTGTGAGGTAAGAAATGCAGTGGAAAAATAAGGTGTTGCCAGATTGTATTAAGCCTTGAATACCAGATGAGACTTTTGAACTTACTTAGTAAGTTACAGGAAACCGCTAAAGGTTTTTTTCCCTTTTAAATTTGAATTCCAAATTCTCTCCCTTATCCACTCATTAAGAAATAAAGCAATATGACAACCATTACATATGTGAAGTCATGCAAAAATATTTCTGTATTAGCCACTTTGCAAAACAAAGCAAGAAAAACAAAGTAAAAAAATTATTCTTCAGTCTTTACTTAGAGTTCATCCACTTTCTCTCTGGAAGTGGATAGCATTTTTCATCATACATCCTTTGGAATTGTCTTGGATGATTGTATTGATCAGAGCTGCTAAGTCTTTCACAACTGATTATCGTTGTAATATGGCTATTATTGTGTACAATGGTCTCCTGGTTCTGCTCACTTCAGTTTGCATCAGTTCTTATAAGTCTTCCCAGATTCTTCTGAAGCCATCCTGCTTGTCATTTCTTAGAGCATAATAGAATTCCATCACAATCATGTATCACAACTTGTTCAGCCATTCCCCAGTTGATGAGCATCCCCTCAATTTCCAGTTCTTTGCCACCACAATAAGAGCTGCTGTAAATATTTTTGTACATATTTTGTACGTACATAAAAAGGTACTTTTCCTTTTTCTTTCATCTCTTTGGGATATAGACCGAGTGATGGTATTGCTGGGTTAAAGGGTATGCATAGCTTTATAGCCCTTCGGGTATATACTAAAGGGTTTTGAGGTCAGGAGTATCATGACTGTACCTATGTAGAAGTAAGGTTGGTCTAACAGTAGTTTGAAGATGGATTAGAAGAGGGAGGGGAAGGAATGAAGGAGTGAAAATTTCTGCGGAGACTATTGCAAGAGAAAAGATGGGTAGTAATGACAGTCTATACCAGAATGGTAGCAGAGCATAATGATGAATAGAAGATACTTTCTCGAGCTAATTTAGCACTTAGGATGTTTTAGAGTCATAAAATCATAGAATGTTAAAGATGGAAGGTGCTTTAGATGTAATCTAGTTCAATTCTCTCTTTCTACAGATGAGGACAGAAGAGATGATTTTGTGTTAGCAAGGGATTATAGTTGTGGGGAAAGTTGAAAGAATTACCGGAAATAGCAATGAAGATAGAAATAAGGTGATCCAAATGGATTTAAAAGAAAAAAATGATATCTAGCATTTATCTAGCACCTACTATGTGTCAGACATAGTGCTAAGCACTTGCAAATATTCTCTCATTTGATCCTTACAACCCTTAGAGATAGGTACTATTATTATCTCTATTTTACAGTTGAGGAAACTGAGTCAAACAGATCAAGTGACTTGCCTGGGTTCACAAAGCTAGTAAGAGTCTGAGGCTGAAATGGAACTCCAGATCCAGTTCTCTATCCACTGTGCCACCTAACTGCCCCTAAAAAATTATCTTCTTTTAAAAAATCCTTGAAATCCATTTATGCCATTTTCCCCTTGGCTTCATCATTATTGTCTGCCAGTCTCCATGTTATCTTTTTTTAAAGTCTGGGTCTCCCAGACTGGACTGGAAGTGCAAGGGCTGCTCATAGGTTCAATACTTATAGGTATCTGAGCTTTGACTTGCTTTGTTATTGACTTAAACTAGTTTGCCCTTCTTGGGGTAACCTGGTAGTCCCTGTGGCTCACCATATTGATACTGAACTTTGTGCACTCACACAAGAAATATAGTCCACTGCTGTTCAGAACTCCTGAACTCAAGACATCTGCCAGACTCAGCATTCTCTGGTCATCTAGATTACAGGCATTTACCATGATGTCAGATTCATTCTTGGAACTTTCTTCATGACTTTAGTACTTACCTCACACAGTCATTTCATCTCTCTACCCTTGTTTCTTCCATTCAAATGAGGAACCAAAAGTCTGAGAGGCAATGTGATGTAGTAGATAGAGAGCGAGATTTTGCCTGTGAAGACAAGGGTCTTTCTCAGTCAAAGCAAGTCACTTAACCTCTCTTTGCCTTTCAGAAACTCCCTTAGACTACATATTTCAGAGCACTTGCTGACTTTCATTGGTGTGGGAATTTGCCAATAGAGAATTCCCTATAGCAGTGAAATTACAAGTTTGACATTTGACCCCCTCCTCTTTCTCCTGCTGCCACTTTAGTAGAAGAAAAAATATTGAGTGTTGGGGTTTGGTAAGGTGTACTGGAACCAGCAGTGATGCTAAAGAGGGGGACCTGACTCAGGTTCAGGTTAGTTCTGTGTGTGTGTGTGTGCATGTGTGTACATATATATGTTATATATATTATATATATGTAATATTGTACTGATCTGTATCTGGCCGCTGGATTCTGGAGGAGAAAGTGAGGCTGGTGCCTTTGCACAGCCCTCCCTCACCTAAATCTAACTCACTTGCAAGTCATAGCATCATCTTCCTGATGTCATGGTCTTCTTTGAGAATGAGGGATGAACCATGACATAATATATTATATAACATATGACATATAGTATATAGTATATATTACATAATGTGTATGTGTGTGTGTGTGTGTGTGTGTGTACACGTGTGTGTGTATGTACAATGGTGTGGCAAATGTTTAACTGGCTCTCCAGAAAAAAAAAATCATGCACTTTTAAGTTTAATCTGCATTATTATCATGAATATCATCAGTAATGATTTTTGCTAAAATAATGTTAAGTATGCATCTCCTTTTTTCCTCCAGGATACATTCCTCTGTACTTGGGTATAAAAGGACCTAATTTTTTTTTGAATTATGTTTATTTTTTCATTTTTATTTTATTTTTTCGGTGAGGCAATTGGGGTCAAGTGACTTGTCCAGGGTTACACAGCTAGTAAGTGTCAAGTGTCTGAGGCCAGATTTGAACTCAGGTCCTCCAGACTCCAAGGCTGGAGTTCTGTCCACTGTACCACCTAGAAAAGGACCTAATTTAGAGAGGGAATCTGCAGGATAGGCATGCTGGGTCACAGTGGGTTCTGCTTTCAAATGCTGCCTTGTGTGACAGTTTTTCACATGAGAAATGATGATGTTGAAATGACTAGATGTTACTTCTAAGTTTAGATTATATTGACCTATGAAAGTATAGCTTTATCCAGTATGAGAGATCATTTAGCTTATTTAAAAATCTATGAAGCCCTTGTAGTAAGGTGATCAAGAATGTATTTGCTATTGTAAAGATTTTCCTGGCATGTCAGTCAACAAGTATTTATTAAGCACCATTTATGTGCCAGGCACTAATAGTTTTTTCTGCTTTTTATTAATACTAAATGGTGATTTTACTTCACAGATTTTTAAAAATCCTTTTTTCCCCCAACAGTTTGCCAAAATTCCAGTACTCCTTTAACTTGATATTGTCTTATTTCAGATCCTGTTGAGAATAATTATGAAACTCTACAGGTAGTCAATGTAGAAAGAAATGGAAAAGTTATTTACAGTTGTAAGGTACGTCCCCCTTTATACAGAATTAGATGTTATGAGGAAAAATTGAGTAATTATTATTTTTTTGGTAAAATTTAATGTTAAGATTCAATTTTTAAATGTTATATATGTCATAAGACTCTTGCATAATTCCATTTTTCTAGAAATAAAACTGTAATGAAATGCTGAAAAGCAAATAAATTGCTTTAAATAACTATCAGCTAACAAATATTAAAGTGTTCCTCAAAAACAACAAAAAGATGATTGTTTATGAAACCATTAACTTAAATAATTTGCAAGGTTTTGGGGAAATGTGTATTAATTTTAACAGTGTGGTATGTCCTATTCTAATCTTTATTTCTCCTTTTCTAAGGGGATTTTTCTAAGGGCATTACCTTTTCTAGGGGATCTTCTTCTAATGGGATTTCCTGGATTTTATTCTGTTGCTATTACTTACGTAGTTGTTGTCAGTACATATTTTTTGGCTTCTGCTTTCTTCTTTCTGCATCACTTAATATGTCTTCCTATTAAATACATTTTTTTTTGTCCTGGACCTGTGACTTCATCCATATTGTTTAACTTCTAGACTTCCAGTGTAATAACTTCCTCTACCCATATAGATCAGCAAATTTTCTGTAACTCAGGAGTAGAAAGTTGTTTGAGCCACCGAGAGGTTTGGTGACTTGGCCATGGACATAAAGCTGATGTATTTCAACGGCAGAACTCAAACTCAGGTCTTCCTGTCTCCAAGACCAACTCTTTATCCCCTACATCATTTTGTCTCCCTAAGTCTTCCCATATTGCTTTGTTTTCTTCATATTTATAATTTCATGTGGTACTATAATATTTGCACCATTTGTTCAGCTATCCCCTAACTGTTGTACACATAGATTGTATCTAGCTTTCGGTCTTGCAAATAATGCTTTTAGGAATATTTTGATATAGATAGATCTTTTTTTCTTTCCATCGTCCTTGGGATATGGACACACTGGATCACTTGGCTAAAGGATATGAACAGTTTTGTACCTCTAAGTAACTTATTAATTTTTTTTTCTTTTTGAGAGCTAGAAACACCATTAACACAAATCTGTTATCAGATAGAATTAAACATATTCAAGTCTTTTTCAGGAAAAAAAATTAACATACTTATTCCAGTCTGTTGTAGCTATTTTGAGTTTAAATACTTAAAATTTTGAAGGTGAATCTCAAGGGAAAAAAAAATCACAGCTTTACTCCATTGATAGTGTACCATTTTAACTGTGTAAAGTAAGTTCATAGTTTTAGCTGCCAATGTATTTTGTCAGGGACCATGAGTATTACTTCCCTTCTTTCAGTATACAAGGTCAGCTCACTTAGATGGGGACAATGTGTTTCCCACACTGACATAATCACACAGTGCCTGCTTTCTGCCAAATTGTTACCTTAGTTGAACTTTTTGTTTTTAAGCCAGCAGGATCTCAGCTGCTCCACATATAGAACATTTAATAAAATGGATGGCTGATTTATTTTTTTGCTTTAAAAAAAAAGTATTGATATAATTTGTTTTGAAACAACAGATCCTTTCCCAGTAAACACAATCAAATCCGGGTTAACCAATTAACAGAAAGTAGGGACATGTCCTTTAACTTGGATATTTTTGCTACCCAGGTAGACTATTGTATCTGACCAGTTTTATTGTCTTAATATTGGCTTTATTGATGTTATCGCAGTCATTATGTATGTTGTTCTTTTGGCTCTTTTTCTTCATTTTGCATCACTTTGCATACGTCTCTGAGTTCTCCATGTCTCTGAATTTTTCTTGCTTGTGGTTCCTCAATGTATAATAATATTACAGTGTATTTACATACCATAATTTATCAAACCATTTCCTTAGACCCGGTGGTTAGGTACTTGTTTTGTTTTCATATTTTTGTTATTATTATTATTAACAATTGATTTACTTTAATAGGACAGCAAGAGAAATGTCTTCTTTGGATTATATGATCTCCAAACCAAAAAAAATGAGGTGAGACAGCAGGAGTCTTATGTTATTATGCTCAGTATTTACCTTCTTGCTTTTATGCTCTTTTCTTTCCTTTACTTTCTTGTTTCTTAGCTATAAATAACTTTGTAAATCTTTCAGTTTTGCCCTTCTTTGTTGCAGTCCCATTAAAAAAGAAAGGTTGCAAGAGTTCTTGAATCTAAACACTAATTTGTAGAAATCAGCATGAAAAATTTCTAGCCAGTGCTTTCAAATACTGTATTTCACGGCATAATCATCACAGATTTTATGGCAAATTTTTCTAAGTGGAGTGCAACCATTATGTGAAGTTTTAAAAAATTATGCCCGGAATATTTAAAAACCATTTATTACTGGGGGTAGCTAGGTGGCTCAGTGGATAGAGCAACGGCTCTGGAGTCAGGAGGACCTGAGTTCAAGTCTAGTGTCAGACACATAACACTCATTAGCTGTGTGACTCTGGGCAAGTTACTTAACCCCAAATGCCTCACCAAAAACAAAAACACAAAAACAACAAGAAAACCCCATTTATTACTAAACTCTCTTTGGTGCAAGATTAGGATGCATGGAATACTTGTGAATATACGTTAAAAATGGGAAGATGCAAGTCTTACCATATCTCGTGACTTACTTATGGCAGCTTCACCTGCCTGCCCAATCTGCTTGTGCCTACGGCCCTTCATTGGATTGAGTGACAATACTGCAGCTCTCTAAACAAACTTTGGAAGTTGGCTTTTGGAAATATAATGACAGTGCATGTGTACTGAGAATTCTAGGCTCACGGCTCATAATGTACGAGAGATAAATGCATATCCATATGCTGCTGGTGAATACATTGCTGCCATGTTTACCTTTTAAGTGTTGTGAGGAACAGAATTATACTATGTGACATTACACGTTGAAAGGTTATAAACCAAGTTTTGAACTGAAAAAACAGGACGTGACAATTATGCGGTGGTGATGATTATGTGGTAAAATACAATACAGTATTAAAGTTATACACATTAAGCAGCAATTGGGGTCAAATATCAGCATGGTGGAGAAAAGGAAGAGAAAGCATGCATGTTTCTGTCGCTGGTCCCGCTTGTCCTAAGTGCTAGTTAGCAAACATTTATTAAATATCTACTATGTGCCAAGTTCTGTGCTAAGTACTGGGAATGTAAAGAAAGGCAAAAATGGGGTTGGCCCTCAGAAAGCTCATCTTCACATTGGGGAGAAAACATACCAACAGCCATGTTCATATACATTCTATCCAGAGTATATGGAAGGTAATGTCTGAAGGTAATGTCCGAAGGAAGGCAATAGCAGGAGAGGGTGGGGAAGGAAGGGGGAGATTAGAAAAAACCTGTAGAATATGTGATTTGAGCTGGGTCTTGAAGGAAGTCAGGGAAGCCAGTAGGTGAAGGGAGAGCTTTCCAAGCATGGGAGAAAGCTAATAAAAAAAGCACAAAGTTGGGGAATGGAGTGTAAGAAATTGTGTGTGAGGAATACCAAAGAAGACAAATTTCACTGGATTGTAGAGGTTTGAGGTGGAATAAAGTGTCTGAAAACTGGAAAGGTAGGAAGAAGCCAAGGCTGTGATGGATATTTAAAGCCAAACAGGGGGTTTTATATTTGATCCTCAAGGTAATTGGGAGCCATTGGAGTTTATTGAGCAGGGAAGTGATAAACTTTTAAGATCTATCCTTTAAGAAAATCCGTTTGGTGGCTGAGTGGAGGATTGATTTTAGTGGAGGCAGGCCTGAGGTAGGGAGACCAAGAGAAGGCTGTTCAATAGTCCAGACCTGAAGTGATGAAGGTCTGCCCCAGGATGTTAGTCGTGTCAGAGGAGAGAAGGGAGCCAGTGAGAGATGTTGTGAAAGTAGAGATGATAAGACTTGGCAATAGATTGAATGAATAATATGAATGTAAATGATGGAGTGGAAGATGATACCAAGGATTCAAGCCTGGGTGACTGAAAGGGTGATGTTGCCTTCAACAGTAATAGAAAAGTTTGGAAGGAGGGTGCTTTTGGGGGAAAGATAGTGAATTCTGTTTTGAACTTGTTGAATTTGAGATGTCCACAGGATGTCCAATTTGACATGTCTAAAAGGAAATTGATGATATGCGACTGAGATAAAGGCTGGTTATATAGATCTTGGAATCACCTGCCTAATGATGATCATTGAATCCATCAGAGTTGATGAGATCATCAAGTTAGATAGTATAGAGGAGGAAGAGAAGAGAGCCCTGGACAGAGCTTCAGGACCATCTGTGTGTGTGTGTGTGTGTGTGTGTGTGTGTCTGTCTGTCTGTCTGTATGTGTGCACATGCATGTACGTGGGTGTGCGTATTTGTATGCGTGTGTGCATGTGTGTTATGGACTAACTAGTTATGGCCAACTCATGCCAGAAGTTATAATTCACAGGTTAGGAGAGAAAGAACATAAGAATAAAGGAATAAAGAAAGAACAATGGGAATAAAGTGAGAGAAGGCAGAGTCTAGTGTAGTCCAAACTGATAGGCATGTTAAACTTTGGGCGAAACAGAGGAGTCCATAAAGGCAAACGATTAAAAAAGCTAGGAAGGAGGAGATTATGAAGTAGGTTTGAGAACAAAGAGCTGGGAAGATATGTGTGTGTGTGTGTGTGTGTGTGTGTGTGTGTGTGTGTGTGTATGTATGCGTGTGTGTGTGTGATTTAAACAGAATAAGGTCAGGAAAACCCCACAGAAAGGTAAAACATGAAGTGTTCTTTACTGACAGTATTTCATGTAAGAAATGAGCCCAGGACAGAGTCCTTTTGTGGTGGCTGTGTATGAGCCGTGCTCCCTACCCGTTTAAGCTGTGGCTGAGCAGCTGTGGATCCAGATATGTTCCAGATATTGCTTTGGGGGCTGCCACCGCACCACAGGAACTGAAAGCCCCTGGAACAAGGCTGGCTGATTCTTTGGGCACTTCTGCCTTGCTGGTCGGTGCTGTCATAGGCAGAGCACTTAACAGGAAGCAGGTTGAGTGTTCTTGTGACTTAGTTTCCACCCTGCACCCTGCCCAACACATACTCTTTGATCCAGTAATGTTGCCCTCCTCACTGTTCCTTGAACAAGATGCTCCATCTCTATAGAACCCACATTTCACTGGCTGTTGCTCGTACTATGAATTCTTTCCCTCCTTATCTACCTCTCTCTCCTTCCCTGGATTCCTTCAAGTCTCACTTAAAATCCTCCCTTCTAAAAGAAGGCATTCCCTATCTCTCTTAATGCTAGTGTCTTCCATCTGTTGATTATCTCCATTTTATCCTATCTATATCTTGTTGTACATGGGTTTTTTGCATGTTATCTCCCCCATTAGACTTCGAGCCTATTGAGGGTGGGGACTGTCTTATCTCTTTCTTTGCATCCCCAGCAATTAATTACAGTGGCTGGCACATAGTAGGTGCCAAGTCAATGCTTGTTAAATGACTGGCACAATCCTGATGAATCCTACAAGCTGGCTTTTGTGTTTCTGTGGTTTTACCCAGAGAGCATGTAGGAAGACAGAATAAATGAGGATCCAGATGAAATATCTGGACATGGTCAAATAATACTTGGTATTCTGGGAGACCTGGGCAGGTTTCACGTGCATAACAAGGCACATAACTGTACCTTGCTAATTGCCCTCCCTTTAGGAATATGACCCTTAGGTATCATGTATTTCTATTGCTTTTGCTGCCCAATGCTCAGGAACCAGTACATTCACACACAAGGGCAATGGGCTCTGGTAAAAAGTTGTGCCCACGTCAGTGGCTTCCGTGCTCCTGAAAATACTGGCAAGGACATTCTGTTTACCTGAATCTTTTGTACCCACCCAAAAACTTATTTGAACTACAACCCATAAATAGGTGACCTATACTTTCTTATTAACTTTTAACTTCTATCAATACATGCAGACTGAAGATTTATTCCACTTGGTTAACCTTAGGCCCTTTTATGCACATCGTCTTTGACCTATCTTGGACTCAGCTGCTTTTAGAATACAAATGATAATTATATGCTGAAACTCTTACAGTTACTTGGTCTAATAAATGTTCTAATTAGGCCCTTAACATTTTTCTTTTGCTTACTGCTGAAGCTCCAAGACTCCTTCCTTTTTATATTTTCTGAGTGATTTTGATTTGGTTTTTAAAGGGGTGTGAATAATTGTAGCCATCCCCAGCTATTCCTAACTCTTCACTCGAGTTTCCTTCTTTTGCAGTGAGTAAATTTTCCAGTTTACTCACTGGCTTTTTAAAGAGGCCAGACTCTTAATCTTTTGACATTTTGAAACTATATAAAAAATTCCTACAAAACAAAAATAGAGATTAAACAGAGTTTAAAAAATTTCCTAATAAGCTGCAGAAATTCTTACTAGAGTCCTCAAAGTAAACACTAGTATCTAGGGCAATTGCAGTGATGCCTTTAGGTCAGATTTTTAAGTTAGTGGAATTTTGGCTTGCCAGTATTATCCTTGCTAATTATTGTTAAAGATAAAATTGCAATAATTTTTTTTAAAAAGACTTATTAAGGTGATTTATAAATTTAGGATTGCTATTTAACATGAAATGCTATAATAAACAAGAATTTTATTTCTAAATAGCATCTGTATACATTTGAGAAAGATTTGCAAGTTGTCAGCTGCTCTGTCAACCGTGAGAAAACATTACTTGGTAAGTGTTGTTCTCTTGAATTTTTGCAATAATAATGTATTCTGTATTATCTATTTTAGGGAGATAATTTTCTTAGACAAAGTAGTAGTCCCTAACCTATGTGAAAGCATAGGTTGTGCTGTGTTTCAACTTATATTATTTTGTCATTTCAATTCTCTGGTGTAAAATGAAAATTATTTAAAAATCTCTAATAAAGCTTTCTGGTTTTCTTCCATTAGCTGTCAGTTTTATACAATCAGCTAAGGAAAGAAGGAATGAACTTCAACCAGGTAATATAGTCATTTTTTATTGTATTTATTGATAGTGATCAGTCTTTTTCAGATTCTTGTGTAGGAAGCAAACAAGCATTTAGTAAGTTCTTACTGTATATTGGGCACTGTGCTAAGCACTGGCGATACAAATACAAGTAAAAAAAAAAAGATGGTCCATGCCCTCAAGGAGCTTACTTTTTTGGGGTTTTTTTTAGGCAACTGGGGATAAGTGACTTGCCTAGGGTCACACAGCTAGTAAGTGTCAAGTGTTTGGTTTGAGGCTGGTTTTGAACTCAGGTCCTTCTGACTTTAGGGCCTGTGCTCTATCCACTGTGTCACCTAGCTGCCCCCAGAATTTGCATTCTAATGAAAGAAGACAGTATTCAAAAGTGAGCTGAAAAGTGGGTCTGGAAGGGGGAAGGAGGAAGATATTCAATATGGGGGCATGGTTTTAAAGGCTAGAAAGTCAGGAACAGGCCTTGGAAGAAAATAAAAGTAGGTTGACCTGGGCCCACCCACAAAATACATAGAATTTCAAGTGTTCTGAGCATGAATTATTCTGCTTTTAGAATGAAATCCCCTGGGATTATGAGATGCATGAGTTTTGTGTAAGTTCCAAATACATGGTGAATGTTGAACTAGTATTGAACAAGTACTCATCTTGTCAATCTTTGAAGGTCAAGCACCTACTGTGCACCAGGTCCTATGCTAAATGCATTACAAATATGACCTCATTTGAACCTTATAATAACCTTGTGAGGCAGGTGCTATTATCATTCCCATTGATGAAACTGAGGCAGACAGAGGTTAATGACTTCCCCAGGGTCACATTGCTAGTGAGTATCTGAGGCTGATTTTGAACTATGATCTTTCTTAGGCTGAGTGCTATATCTGCTATTCCACCTAGCCGCCTCATAGATGACATGCCCATCTATACATAGCTTTAAAGAGGTAAAGGGAGCATTGATAGAGTTGTTAGGTATCTGTGTAGGTTATCTCCCCAACTAGATCTCAAAGCTCCTTCAGGGCAAAGATTGTGTTTTTTATGTCTTTGGAGCTGTATTAGCACAGTACCTGAAACAGAGCCGAATAGATATTTCATTCTTTTTCATCATCAACATTCATCAACAAATTTTTTGAGTGCCTTCTATGAGCTAGGTGATGGGGCTAAGAGAGCCAGAATCAGGGGTAGGTGTTGTATAGCAAATACTCATAGGAGGTGGAGGGGGGAAAGGTCCACTTTATAATGAAAAAAAAATGAATGCACACATTTTGAATGCCATTAAATTTTATCCTCTATAATATACACAAGTATTTCCTTTGTGGTAAATCAATTTTTATGTATTACAAAGTAAACGATTTTCAAGACTTGCTTAGCTACGCAAATTCCTTGTTCTGGCATTAGTTGTAAGACGTAATCCCTATGGTCAACTCTCTGTTTTTTTTCTTTTTTTTCTTTTTTTTTAGTGAGGCAGTTGGGATTAAGTGACTTGCCCAGAGTCACACACAGCTAGGAAGTATTATGTGTCTGAGGCCAGCTTTGAACTCAGGTCCTCCTGCCTCCAGGGCTGGTGCTCTATCCACTGAGCCACCTAGCTGCCCCAGGGCAAGTCTTTTACAGTGTGGTTGGGGAGATAGGGTATACACATGGAGGAATTAGCAGAAATACAAAGCAGCATAAGCTTAGTCCTACATGAGTGATAAAAGTAACGTGTGCTAGTGATCACAAAGGGTTGGAGTTTGGTTAAAGAGTGGCAATGAAAACTCTTTTGCTAGGCTTCCAAGATGATATGGAATCTACCTCTCCTTCCCAAACTAGTCCAGGCTCCCTCACCATTAGTCAAACTTCTCTCCTTACTGTCCCTGTCCGTGTCAAGCTCAATCCTGCCCTCAAGCCTTTGGTGGTGCTGTTCCCTCTGCCTGGGATTCAACAATTTAATTCGACCCCACATTTATCAAGTACCTGCTCTAATGCAGAACACTAATTCTGTGAGATACTTTGAAATTTAGATACCGTATTTTCTGTTCTCCTAAAGCTTAACAAGCAACTCAAAGCAAAATAAATCATGACAAGTATTCAGAGAGAGGGCAAACAATGTGTTACATAGAGAATGAATGAAAGGGGAAGGTTATTCCTTACTGAAAGCAATCAAAGAAGGGTACATGGAGAACGAAGAATTTGAGTTGAGCTTTAAAGGTTGGGTGGGAACTCAGTAGGCAGAGGTTGGTGTTGGCAAGGGCATTCCAAGCATGTTAAATAGTGTGAGCAGAGGCATATAGGCGGAGAAAGACAGGAGTTATAGAGGGGATGATGAGCATTCCAGTCTGGCTGGCCAAAAAAGTGAGTGAATAAGAGTAATAAGAAATAAGGCTTAGGGAATTAGGGTGATGGGACTTTAATGCCAGGAAAAGGAATTTGAACTTAATCTGGCAATAGGAAATTGTTGAAGGGTTTTGAGTTGAGAATTGACATGACTAGATCATGGCATAATCATTTCACAAGTCAGCAGGCAGTTATTAAATGCCTACTATGTGCCAGGCACTGTATTAATTACTGACCGGACATAAAAACATAAAAATGAAACAAACCTTGCTCTTAAGGAGTTTCCAACCTAGCTGGAGAATAAGTCTTGCAGTAGTGTGATGAATCGACACCAGTGTGCCAGAACCTGTCATTGTGGGGATTCTTAATGATTAATAACTTTTATGTCCTTGGCACAGTGGATAAAATGCTGGACTTAGAGTCAGAAAGACCTGAGTTTGAATCCTCTAGATCCCTATTAGCTCTGTGATCCTGGGGAAGATACTTAATCTTTTTCAACTTCAGTTTCCTCATCTGTAAAATGGGGAAAATAATAAGTACACCTACCTCAGCGGGTTCTAGTGGAGATCAAATGAGGTAGTGTATATAAAGCACTTGGCAAACTTTGAAGCACTCTATAAATGCTAGGCATTATTATTACCTGTTGTGCACTGCTTAAATAATTCTGGACCCTTCTGAAGCTCTCTTGTGTCTCAAGGTATTTAGTCCTATGGTTGTTAGCAAAGCAGGGCCATGATAAAAAATTTAGAGACATAGAAGGTTTATATTCAGGATAAAATAAGCAATAAAGAAACAGAAGGTGTTCATACCCCTCACTTCTTGTGACTATTGTTTTGTTCCCCTTGTCTCCAGAATAGTTTCAGTCTTCAACTCTTTTAGAAACGTGTAACTGTGATAGGGGGAGGTTTGGCTATATCTTTCTGAAACTAGAGTGAGTGGTTAGGAATTTCAATGAATGCAGCAACAGCATCCCGGTTTGGGCATCTGTTGGCCTTTTTACTTTGGTACTATAGCCACGATGTCTCTTCTCTTTGCTCTGTTTTCCTCAGGATTGCTTGACAGCCTTATAATAATTAAAAACAAACCAACAAACAAAACCTTGCCACTATTCTTGCTAGATTGGTTGTAATCTTTTCCCTTTTCTTCTCTGGATTGTCATCATCTCCTCTTCCTCCTCCTCCTCCTCCATTTCCTTCTTCTTCTCCTCCATTTCCTTCTCCTCCTCCTCTTCCTTCTCCTTCTCCTCTTCCTCCTTCTCCTTCTTTTTTGAATGTTCCTTCTCTTTCTACCAATCAGCAACAGCTCCTCTTGGGAAATAGAATTCTTGTTCTCCTTCAATCAGCAACCATTATTTGGGCCTAGGGCCTTGCAGGAATTGTAGTTCACATGTTTTTAACATATATATATATATATGTATATATACACACATACATATACATATATACACACATATAAATATAGACATACATACACACACACACATACACACTCTGTTCCCTTCCTTTGTGCAGACGGAATAGAAGAGAGGGGTGAAGGGGAAAGCTGGAACTGTTTCATACCTTGTCTGCTCTGGTTAATTTGGAGGAGCAAATAAAAGTAGAAGTGAAAAGATCTCTTAGGAGCCTATCACAATAGTTCATATAAGTGGTAATTAGAACCAGTGGCCCTAAGGTGCTGATAGTAGGAACAGAGAAGAGGGAATTGTAGAGAGATTGTGGAATTAGAATCAATAGGACCTAGTTACCAATTGTATTTGAGAGGTAGGGAACTGGGAAGAGTTAATGATAATACTAATGAAGAATGGTGAAATAACTAACAATACCTCACTAAGGGTGAGGTATTGGTTAGAAATTCAGTCGGAGCATTATGCAGGCAATTAGAAATATGGGGCTGCAGCTCAGAAGAGATTTGGAAGTCATTGGTTTGGAGGTAACATTTGAAACTATAGCAGCTGGAGATATTAAGAGACAGAGTTATCAGGGGCCTAGTATAAAATCAGACTCACCTTAAGAATTTATGAAGAGGAAGGGGAACCAGCAAAGGAGATAGAGCAAATGTGGTTAAAGAGGTAGGAGGAGAGCCAGGAGAATGTGGAGTCTCAAAAGTTGAGGGAGGAAGAGATTAAGATCCCCAAGAAGAGAGATTGTCAACCCCATCAAATGTCATAAAATCAGGATGGATGAAGATAGAGAGCAGGCTGCTAAATTTAAGGATTACGATGTCATTGGTGTTCTTAAAAAGAGCAGTTCCAATAGTGTGGTGAAGACTGAAGCCATATTACAAAAGATTGAGGAATGTTCGGTCTGTTTTCTTGCCACCAATCCACCCGTCATCCAAATCTAGTCTCTAGGTAAAGTCATTGGTAACTTTGAAAAGGGCAGTTTCAGTAGTGTGATTAAGACAGAAGCCAGATTACAAGGGATTGAAGGAATGTTTTATCTTTTGCTTTGCCACTGATTCACCTATTATCCAAATCTAGTCTCTCTGCAGTCTTCTTTAATTACTCTAGACCACACTAATCCTTATTCTCTGAACTCCTGTTAAATTTTTATTCAGTGCCACAAACTTATTTCATAGGTTCATAGAATGTTAGAACTGGAAAGAACTTTAGAGACCAGCTAGCCCAGTCTTTTTTTACAGATGAAAAGCAGAAGCCAAGAAGAGTGATATGAAAGGAAGAGAATAAACATTTATATAGCACCCCCACTACGTGCCAAGTGCTATGCTAAATGCTTTATAAATAATATCTCATTTGAAGTGATTCACCTACTACCACATAATGAGAGAGCTGGTCCTAGAATTCAGCTCTTTTGCCTCCCATGACATTTCCAGTACACTAAAAGGTCACGTAGGGTTTTAATAAAATTTTAAATTTCTAAAAATATTCTAAAAATAAAATTCTATTTCATTAGTATAATCATATTTTAAAATTTTGGTGCAATCTTCATCAGAGAAGGGGTATTTAACTAGTGTAGGAAGAGATCTGACAGATCATGACCTTAAGAACCTTAGCTTTAAAGACGTATGATGATGTGGTTGGTTTTTTTTTTTGTGGTTGGTTATCTATCATTGCTTAAAATATTGTATAATATGGTCAAGACCATAGGTTCAGGCTTCATATGAGCCAAATAGCTTATATTCTGTACTGTAGCTGCGAACTTCATTCTAACATTAGCTATGTGTCATATGAAAACATTGTTTATTAGCTGCATGGTGCATAACGCATGTACAGCACTTGGAGGAGAGTGGGGCAGTTGGAAAACAGAATGACTCAGTCAATGCAAATATTATTCCATTATCGGAGAAAAAAATAACTTGGAGCACATTCCAGATTGTGTTTTATCTTAGATACACACACAAAAATATCAAGTTATTGTTGTATACTGATAGTATTTGCCGTGGAGCTAAACTGTGTGTAGAGTAGTTTAGCTGCTGGCCAGACGTGGAATGGAGTTCTGTTTGTGTCATATGAAGCCAAAATCCCTGTGTATTTCTCTGAAAATGGCTGTTCTTAGGCTTTTGACTCATCCCATCAGTGTGGAAATCCCTTTTCTGCCATATTTTAAATCCATTTGGGCTATTAAAGTGCTGTTAATTTCCAGTCAACATTTTTTGGTATCTTATTCCTGAAACTCTACCTGCTAATTCAGTTAATTTATCATGTTTCCAGTAACCTCAGTTACTAATCAAGTCTGTTCATCTAGCAGGTGAAAATGTGAGGACTGATAACTAGCTAGCTTTTGTCAGAGAAGCAGCTTTTGTTTCAATTGCAATTCTTTATCACAGTCTAAACAATTCTTGCAAAACTGGGCATTCGTCCACTGCCATCCCTCCTTCCCTCCAGGGTCCTGTGATTGGGGTTGATCAAGGACGTCTTTGTTTGTACTTGCCTCTCTTGAAAAGCTACTTCTGTATTCTGGGATGTGTAGATTACATATTGACATGCCACCTTTTGGGAGCTGTCAAGTGGTTTTGAAGCGTGGGCCTCTACTCCTCTGGGCCTTTGCCATTATTGAAAACTCCTGGATTATGGAAAATTTGTTTGGGTTGTGGGAAGGAACACATTAGCTACTGTCCACATGTGTAGCTGAATTCTGTTTGTATAGTACGAAGCCAACGTCCCCATGTATTTTTCTGAAAATGGTTTTTCAGGGACTTTTTTGACTAATTTTTACTGATGTAAGATTAAGGGTAGCAGAACACTTTAATTCACAGTAATACTCAAATTTCCCTTAGCATGTATTCCAGTTAAAGGAATTTGTAGCAATTTTCCCTTTCATTCACTTTTAGGAAAGACATAGTATTACTTTGCAAAAGTCTTAATCGCCTAACATCTTAATTTCTTTGTAGCCTCTAAGTGCTTGACTTTGTTGGTGGAAATTCATCCAGTTAACAATGTGAAGGTTCTGAAAGCTGTAGATAGTTGCATCTGGGTACAGGTAAGCTAATTTATTACTAATCACCTTAATTGAAAGGCATAAAACTCTAAGGCTGTATTTTTTTTTAATAAAAAAAATTCTTATATAACATCAAAGATATAAATGCATTTGCTTAATGTGACTTTCTGTATGCAATATTTCTATCATATACTCGCAAAGTGAAATAGTTAAGCTTGTATATGGAGGCATCTCTCTATTTTAATCAAATCGGCCTACTCCTTGTTCCCTACATGTATCATTCCATCTTCTACCTGAGCCTTTACACGGCTGGTCTCTCATATCTGAAATCTACTTTCTTCTCATGTCCATGTTTTAGAAATTCTTAGCCTTCCTGAATGCACAATTCAAATATCAGCTCCTATGGGAGTCTTCCTACTTCTTAGTCCTCTGTCCTTCTGAAAATTTCTCTTCCTTTGTACATACTTTTCCCTCATTAAACTCTAAGGTCTTTGAAAGCAGGTACTGCCTTTTGCCTTTCTTTATATCCTCAGTGCCTAACACAGTGGCTGGCATGTAGTATATGCTTAATAAATGTTTGTTAATTGACTGATTTTAAATTTACTTACTTGGTATATATGTTATATCCCCTCAGTGGAATGTAGGTGACTCAAGGTCAGGGATAAGAAAATTGAGACCAAGTAATTAACTTGGAATCCCCAGTATAGTTACTATTAAATCTTCTCTAAGTTAGGGTCATAAACATGCAACAGTTTGTAGGACTACTGAATAGGCATTCGAAATATTGCCTTGGCTGTGCATTGTCCGAACAGATCTCAGCCTGAGGTGCGAGAGGAAGAACTGACACAGAGGAATTAGATGGTGGATAAGGGCTGGTAGTTCTGGAACCCTAGTTTCATCAGGAATTGGTTTAAAAGGGAACAATAGGTACATATCTAGAAGAGTACAAAAATCTTCTAAATTTAGAAAGAAATAAAAGGCTAAGTGGATAGAGGGGGGAAGAGAAGGATTTTTAGAGGGGAAGGTGAGTGAATAGGATAAGAGGGGGGTAACAGAAGGACAGGAATGGGAGGATAAGGATCCCTGGAAGGGGGAGGGCAAGATAGCAGGCTGAGGTTTAGGACTAAATCACTTTTGATGGTCACTTTTTCCTCCAAAGAAAATCTTATTGCTGGGAACTTCCACCTGATGGACCCAGGCTTTCTCAGAATCATAAGACATCCTCTACCCCTTAACATAGTCATCGTCAGAATAATGTTCTGTCACCTACTCAGCAGAGGAAACACAAAGTGGAGAAAGTATCAAGAGCCCCTAGATGAGTCCTCTTTCTTAGGTTGCCACATGGGAGTGGCCAGGCTGGGATGGTGGAAAAAGAACTGCCATATCCTGTTACGGAAAGTTTCTTGAAAGAGTGTGTTACTTGTCATGAGGGGAGAGTAGAAGGAAAAGAGCATCAGGGGTGGGGTCACTCCCTATCATTTAAAATTCATCAGCTCTTTCTGCTCTGTGGCCAGTAAGGGAATGCCTTGACATCTCAAAGAGTAAAGCCCTCTCCCTAAGTCACATATGTGGCTGGCCAGAAGCAGGAAGGGCACCTGGAATGACTCCCATAGACCATACTCTCATTTGACCCCTGTGATGCCTATTAGCTACCACATACATATGTATGTTTCTTGTGCATATGCATGTTTCTGAGTCTGGTTCAAACTTGTATCTAGGGCACAAGCTTAATTTCTTTTGGTCTTCCCAGAGATAGTTACTACAATCCTCTCCTATCCTTGGTCTCCCACATAACTACCTTCTTTTCTCTTGTAAGATATACATATCATAAATCCTGAATTAAATCTGCAGTTGAAACCTACATATTATTGAAATTTTTTAAACTTTTGAGTTATTGGTCCTGATAATAGCATCTTTGAGCTGACGATATTCTTGTATATGTTCTAGTGGACCAATATGGGTACAAATATTCCACAAAATTGATTAGTTTATTCTGCTAGTTTTACTGTATTTCTTCAAAAGTCAGAGTAGTAGAAAGGAGGATAATTTGAGACAAAGAATCCATTTTTGGTTCAGTCCTCAGGCCTAGGTCTTTGGAACAAAGCATGCTTCAGATAATGTAGTACTGTTTTCTTGTTTATTTTTTAAAGTACTATTTTTCTAATGGTATTAGCTAATAATATGTATTTTTTCTCTTCCTACATTCTACGACACAGCAAAGCCAGCTTTCTTGCTGTTCATCATGTATAACATAATATCTCTCATTTCTGTACCTTTCCACTAGTCATTTCCTGTGCCAAGAATGCATTTCTTTCTCATTGCTAACTCATAGAATCTCTTGTTTCCTTCAAAATTCCTTTTAAGCACTACCTTTGATAGGAAGCCTTTCCTGATTCCTTCCCCTGGCTGTTATTGCCTTCCTTTCCAAAATCACTTTATATTTTAAAAAATATTCTATATTTATTTATATGTGTACATGCTGTTTCCTTTGATAGAACGTAAACTCCTTGAGGTCAGGGTCTGTTTCATTTTTGTCTTTGTATCACTAGAACCTACCATGGTATCTGGTATTCAGTATGTTTAACGAGCGATTATTGATGGTTTGGTTTACTTGACTTTTAAAAGAATGATGAAAGAACTATTTAGATCATTGAAATCTTCACATGATGCTTTAATGACACATTTTCTTCATTATCAGTTATTCAAACTTAAAAAGATACTTGAGGATGAAGTAGTGTCTTCCTACTTTTGTCGTTGTTCAGTCATGTCTGACTCTTCATGATCCCATTTGGGATTTTCTTAGCAGAGACACGGGAGTGGTTTGCCATTTTCTTCTCCAATTCATTTAATTTTTTTTCCTTTTTTTCTTTACTTTTTAAAAAATGTATTTCAGACTTAATAGAAAAACTTAAATACACAATAAGAAAAAGAAATATATTACAAACTTAAATATTAAAACTTAAATACAAAAGAAGAAAAGAAAAAGCACTGCCATACACACAACAGAACATAAGAGAGGATTCAAAATACACAGCAATAAATTTCTATTTCAAGAAAGCCTATATAATAAATGCTACTCTTTGTGTTCAGAGCTGTCCATCTTTGCTTCCTTGTAAATTTTCTTTTGTTCTCTGCTGTGCACTTTTTACTTTGTTCTTTTTCCCCCCTTCTTTCCCTGTCCCCCTAAAAAGTATAAATAAGTATGGATATATATATATATATATATTATATATATAGGAAATGATATGTATATATATATACACACACATGCACACATACACACATATATGCACATACATACATATGTACACACACATATACACAGAGACATATACATACATACATATACATATGTACACTTACACATATACATATACTTAGATATCTATAATCATACTCATATATCAACATATACATTCATATGCATCTATGGAAGACTGTACTATACTCATTTGTCCTCTGTTTCTCTGAGGGTAGATAACATCTTCCTTCATAAGTCTGAGTCTTTCCGTATTTTTCTAAGTCCACCAACTCATCATTTCCTACACCACAGCAATATTCTAACCTTATACTGTCTAGTTATTTTAAATTGTCTAAACCAATATTGATTAATATGGTTGACATATAGTTTATTTTCCCTATTTTTCTTTTATGATTAGATTTGTTTTAGATTTAACTTTGTCTGAGGTCATGATTACTACCCCTGCTTTTTTTCCTAATAAATTCTACTCCTGAACTTTATTTTATGTTTGTGTGTACCTCATTTCCTATCCCTCCTGACTGTTCTGCTTTACTTCTACCTGCTATCTTGCCCTCCCCCTTCCAAGGATCCTTATCTTCCCATTCCTGTCCTTCTGTTACCCCCTTCTTATCCTATTCCCTCACCTTCCCCTCTAAAAATCCTTCTCTTCCCCGTCTCTATCCACTTAGCCTTTTATTTCTTTCTAAATTTAGAAGATTTTTGTACTCTTCTAGATATATACCTATTGTTCCCTTTTAAACCAATTCCTGATGAAACTAGGGTTCCAGAACTACCAGCCCTTATCCACCATCTAATTCCTCTGTGTCAGTTCTTCCTCTCACACCTCATTTGGGTACAATAATTACTCTTTTTACCTGTTTCTAAATGGTTTTACTTTTTAAAATCATGTCATACTCAGATCTACCCCAATCTTTCTTATGGACTACCCAATTAATAATGACAATGTTAGCATAAATGTTACATCTCCTTGTATGAAAGGTAAACAGTCTGTCCTTATTGAGTCCCTTGTAATTGATCTTTGATATATATGCCTTATATTTTTCTTGGATCTTATATGTCGAACCTTCTATTAAGTTCAGGGTTTTTTTTTTTAACAAAGTGCTGAAAGTCTGACAATTCATTATCCATTTTTTTTCATTCAGGATTATGTTTAACTTTTCTGGGTATGATATTTTTGGCTGCAACCCCCGGTCTTTTGTTCTTCAATATATACTGTTCCAAGATCTGTGGTCTTTTAGTGTCACCACTGCTAGGTCTTATGTGATTATAATTGCGTCACCGCCATATTTAAATTTTTTTCTTGCTGCTAGTAATATTTTATCCTTGAGCTGAAGGTTTTGGAATTTGACTATGATATTCCCGTTAGTTTTCCTTGTAGAATCTCTTTCAGATGATGATCGGTGAATTTTTTCTTTTTCTACTTTCCCCTGTTGTTCTAATTAATGCTTCAGGACAATTTTCTTCAATTATTTCTTGTATTATTGTATCAGGATTCTTTTTTTTTTTTGATCATAGCTTTCAGGTAGTCTGATTATTTTGTTTTCTCTTCTTGATCTGTTCTCTAGATCTGTTGTTTTTCTTATGTTTCACATTCTCTTATATTTTTTCATTCTTTATATTTTGTTTTATTATTTGTTGATGTCTTACAACTTCATTGGCTTCTCCTTGCCCAATTCTAATTTTCAAGGAATCATTTTCATCCTTAAGATTCTAAATTTCCTTTTCTAATTGGTTGGCTTTCTTTTCATAATCTTATTTTTCCTGGATTGTTCTTATTATTTTTTAACATTTTTCCTCAATCTCTCTCATTTGATTTTTAAAGTCTTTTTTAAGTTCTTCTATGAATTCTTTTTGGGCAGGTGACCATGTGACATTACTCTTCGGGGGAGGCGAGGCTTTTTTTGTGCTTCAGTATCCTCCTGTGAAGATGAAACTTAGTCTTTATTCCTATAGTAACTTTCTGTGGTTGGATTCTTTCTCCTTTGCCTGCTCTTTTTTTTTTTTAATAGCAGCTTATTTTTTGTAATCACTTCTAGTTCCTGGAGTATGGGGGTTGGTGCCTCTGGCCTCAGGTCCTCCTTTAGTTCTCCCCTACAGCTTGAAACTGAAACCAAGAGCTCTGCCTTCCTGTAAGTGCCCACAGTCAGCAGTGTCCCTGCCCCACTGCTTCTGCCCTCGCTGGGCATGTGCTGGTTCCTTCTGCCCAGGGCCATGTCTCTTCTCACCCAGGGCCATGTCTAGGCAGCACAACGGGGTCTGGCATTCCTTATCAGCAGAGGTTCCCTCAATCTTCCCTGGCTCAGACATACTCTGGACACTATCAGGAAGTGAAAGTTCCTGTGGCTGGGGCCAAGGTTACCTCCCAACCCAGCTAGCCCCAGGGCTTGCCACTTGTTTCAGTGGAACTACCCTAGAGGTGTTTACTCATCACAGGGATCAACCTCTGTCTTGAGATTTTTCTTCAGATCTTCAAATTGTCCCAGGAGGATCACTGCTCAGCCCCAATTCTTGTTTATTTTTATCACTCTATGTTTGCCCTGAGGCACTATTTTATCTTGTTTGTGGGGGAAATCTGGAGAGCTTGGAATTTTCTGATCTATTCTACCATCTTCCCAGAATCCTCTCTCTCTAGCTTTTTAGAGATAAGGAAACTGAGGCACATAGGGGCTAAGTGACTTGCTCACACAGCTAGCCAGATTTAAACTCAGATCTTCCTGCCTCCAAGCCTAGCACTCTATCCACTGCACCACCTACCTGCCCCTTTCCCTTTTTTAGTCCCTTTGTTTTTCTTCTTTCTTTTTTTTTCTGACTTCCTAATTTATATTTGTAGTCAGACATTATGGGGTGTCTTTGTGTGTGTGTGTGTGTGTGTGTGTGTGTGTGTGTGTGTGTGTGTGTGCTTTCTGAGTCAGAGGAAAGAGAGAAAGACAGACAGAAGGGCATATATTGAGAGAGAGAGAGAGAGAGAGAGAGAGAGAGAGAGAGAGAGAGAGAGAGAGAGAGAGAGAGCGAGAGCCAAAAGACACAGAGACAGATTTTTCCTTTGTACAGGTGCCAACCCTCTTCCTCTTTTGTTTAATTTCTTCTTTATGCAACATGGAGACTGTTATGCCTTACTCATTCTCACTTTTGGCCTTGTACATCATCCAACAGAAGAAACACAGTGGTTTCCACCATATTTTCTTAGTATTTTCTGGTTACATGGTGCTTTGTCTTTTCCTTCAAGTATTGGGGGGGAGAGACAAAAAGATAGAAACAGACAGACAGACAGAGAGAGAAGAGGAGAGGGGGGAAAGAGAAGGGCAGAGAGAGGGGAGACAGGAAGAAGACAAAGGAGAGAATAACAGAGTGAGAGTATGTATCTATATTTGTCTATCTATATCTTCCTCTGATATTAGGTCCTGTTTAAGAAATATACTTTGTTTGATCCTCAAGAAAACAACCACTTACCACTCAGAATATTCAGCTTTTGGTTGACTAGAGGTTCACTGACTCCATATAGGTAGAATCTAATTTAGCATAAATATAGGATCCTAGGATTTAGAACTGGAAGGAACCTTATTGAGAATTTCAGTAATTATCTGGTTCAGTCCCTTTATTTTACAGCTTGGAAAACTGGGTCCAAGAGAGGTGAATGAAATAAATGTTTTGGGAAATAAATAAATATTAATCGTTTTTACAGTTAATAAGTAGCAGTACTGGGACTTAAACCCGGGTATTCTGATTATTTTTAAATGAGTGTTTTTGTTTCTATTGTACCATATTCAGCTTCCCTCTCTCCCCAATATAGTCATTGTATTTTGCGTGTATACCCTCTAAATATGTTTCATGGTCATAAATAAGTCCCGTATCTTGCAGAACACTGATCAGATGCTACTTTTGGAATATCTGTGCTAGCAAGGCAGTTGCTTATGGTTTTGAATAATTTGCTTTTTACAGTTTCTCTACCCAATTGATGAAAGAAATCCTTTCCCAGACAGCCATCTGTTACTGATTTCAGAAGAGAAATGTAAGTGTCTCTTTAGTTTTCATTTAGTATGGCATCCTGGTTAAAACACACACACACACACACACACACACAACACACACACACACACAAACCCCAAGACATATATTAATGAAGCCTTACAAATAAAAATGACCTACTTGCTGAGCTTTTCAAACTCATCCTGGTGGCTTATGCAACTAGGGATACAATCCCATTCCTTTAATGTAAATTCAGTAGTAGAGCTGATTTCCCACAGAGGTGACTTTTCCTGACTACTTTTGATTACCTCATCCTTTTTGTCTTTTTCTCACATGGAGATGTGAGCTACTTGATCACATCTGAGAGGAGGTGAAATTTTAGAGATGTTCCTTCAGAACAGGCCGACATAGTCCAGAATTTTATGCTATCAGCTTTACTGAATCTGCTGTCAGAAACAGAAGCTGTTGTCAGGAGGCAGCCAATATAGGCTTTTCTCCTGAAGAGTACGGGTTTGTGTTTGTGCAGAGCAGTCCCTTGGTGATCAGGAGTGCACACATGTATGATAGCAGGCTTTAAGGAGGAGGTGGTGGTGATCTAATTTGTTCGCTGATACACAAGTGACTGTCTATAAGGTTATTTTAAAGCTATGTGAAGGTTTTAGCCTGATAGACTGCCACAGGTTAGATTTTTTCCTGCTTCTTTCCCCAATTAGCTTGTGTAATGGGGTTTTCCCCCTAAGGTATGTTAATTTGAGTGGTCTAGTTTTATATATGTATATATGCATGTGTGTATATATACATATATATGTTGAATCTGGAACTATAGTGTTATGTATTCTTTTATTTATACACACACACACACATACACATATATATTGAATCTGGAACTATAGGGTTTTGTATTCTTTTATATGTATACATATGTACACACATGTACTCACATGCACAGACACACGCACACACACACATATATGTTGAATCTGGAACTATAGTGTTATATATTCTTTTTTCCAGAGTTGATGTGTGAATCATTGGTTAGTACTTACAGAGAGGAGCACAGCTGATATTAAAAGCATAATGTACTATGGACATTTCAGCGCTAAATAAAAGTAGGGCTTGAAAGAGACCATGGGGTGGAAAAGGGCACTGTTTTTAATTGAGCGTTTATTGTGAGGGCACCATCTGGAGTTGGACTGCTTTGTGTCCTGTCATTTAATCTGTATTCCCACAAGGCTTTGTTCATAACTGCTTCTTTGCCAAATCATTAACTGGAAGCCGTAGTTCTATTTGTCATAAATATTGAATTTTGCTTCCTTTTTTATTTTTTTTAAGATGTTGAACAATTTCATATCCAAGTCTTTAGGGAAGATGAAAATAGGGTGGTAAGTACTTGAATCCTTCTCTACCCCTGCAATTCAAAATTCTTTTATAAACAATTCATTCCTATAATTGTAAAAAAAAAAAGACAGAGTAATACTATTGGGACATAAAAGTACTTTAAAGTTTTAGCCTATAGCTTTATATAATGATGTTGATGACATTAATTGCTGGCATTTAAGGTTTGCAAGTTACTTTATAATATTTTCTCATTTTTTTTCTCACAATTCCCTGGAAAGTAGGTGCTAATATCACCATTTTCCAGATGAGTAAACTAAGGTATACAGAAGTTTTAGTGACTTGCCCAGAGTCACATAGCCAGTAATTATCTGAGGCAGTATTTGAACTCAGGTTTTCCTGATTTTAGGTCCAGTGCTCTATTCACTTGTGCCACCTAGCTGCAGTTTACTATCAAAGAAAGTCACATCCCAAAGTTTTAATCTGAAAGGGATATCAACTGTCTGGAGGCAGCATGATGCTGTAGAAAAGGTGCTGGCGTCAATAGCGATAGATTTGAATTCTGCCTTTGGAACGTGTCTACCTTCTCTCAGCCTCAGTTTCCTTATCTGTTAAAAAAAAAAGAGGGGAGCAGCTAGGTGGCACAGTGGATAGATCACTGGCCCTGGAATCAGGAGGACCTGAGTTCAAATCCGACCTTAGACACATAACACTCACTAGTTGTGTGACTATGGGCAAGTCACTTAACCCCAACTCCCCTCAGAAAAAAAAGAAGGAATTGAACTAGATGACTTTTTAGATCCTTTATACCTCTAAATCTAAGATTCCATGATTTCCCTCAAATCTGCTACAAACTCATAGGTTTGACCAAATGAGGATACTAATAATATAAGAAGTGAGGATAATAGCAAATGTTTACATAGTGCTTCAAGGGTTACAAAGTACATTACATATTATCTCATTTGATTATCACAACAGGTCTGTGAAATATATACTACAAATATTATTATATACATTTACATATGTAGAAATGGAATCACAGAAAGGTCAAATTGGTCACCCAGTTATGAAGTATTGGAAGGGGATTTGAACCCAGGTTTCCTCATGACTCTAAATTGCATGCTGTTTCCACTGTGGCATCTCTGTTATTTACAGATGACTTGGAAATTAACCTGGGATGTCTAAGACTGAGAGGCAAATGTCTCTGGTATCTACTTGGCTCTTGCAGAATGCTTTCTGCATTAGCTAGGATCCATCCATAGGAGATGGGAGCAAGCCAGTGAGGCAATCCTTCAGCCTGTCTCCAGGCTGTGGGTACCCCAGACTAGTTTCCTATTATCCTTAAATGATGCAGCATGTTATAGTAGATGGAACACTGGACTTCAAATAGGCAAAACCTTTGGTTTAAATCCCACATCCCCCCTATCAGCCTCTCAAGAGAAATTCAACCCAAATTTTAAGTATGAATATAAGTGAAAATACAGGATAGCTATTTTAAAGCTCCCCCACCATAGTTGTCCCTTTAGACTATTTCTACTCTTGGTCTACCTATCCCAGTATAGCTTACTTTGAAACCAGATGGGCAAATTGGGGTGGAGAGGTGACAAAATGTAGAAATGCTGCAATTACTATGAGGTAGCACTGTGTAATACAATGATCCTCAGACTTTTTGGTCTTAGGACTTCTTTATAATCTTAAAAATTATTGAGGATACCATGCCCCCCCAAGAGGTTTTGTTTATATAGAATTTATTTATTAGTATTTACCATAATAGAAATTAAAATGTTTCAGTATTATTTCAAAAATAGTTTTGACCTTGTAGACCCCTTGGGATACCAGCACTGCATTTTGAGAACCCCTGGTATAGTAGAAAAAACCCTGGATTGTTAATAAGGAGACCTGAGTTTGAGGCTTACTTCTACATCTAACCCCCTGAATGGGTTTAGAGAAATCACTTAATCTCAGTTTCCTTGTCTATAAAATGAAGAGGTTGAACTAGGTGACCTTTCTGGTACTTTCCTGTTGTGTAATTCTGTATTGTTTCAGGTAAGTATTTGATTGTAGCTGTGGGTGAACTTGCCCCTCCTTTGCCTTCAACACTGAAATGGCTTTATTAGGTTATATAGGAGGTCTGAATCACCTGCTGACTTGCAGTGGGTGTGGCCTGGCCTAGATACTTCTATGTAAAATGGAAATGATGATGAAGTCCTACCTGAAAGCATAGTTGGAAGGAATTATTAATGAAATATTTAAGAGCAATTTTTATCCATGAGATTCTTGATCGCTGATGCTAGTTTTATATAATTATATAACTATGTAACTATATATATATATATATATATATATATATATAACTATATATATATATACACACACACACACACATAAAACTATTTTAAAAATACTTATATAAGGTCTAAAAAACATTTTTACCCTATCAGGTGATTGGAAATTCTGGTCACCTTCCAAGAGACAGAGTTGTTGAAGATTTTGTTTGGGCCCAATGGGATATGTCAGAACAGAGATTATACTATTTCGTCCTGAAGGTAAAAAAAAAGAAAAAAAAAGGAATCCAGTTGGCATTTTCTTTTTTCTATATAAAAGTTTTTATTCCTTATGATTATAGTTTTTAAGCTACATTATTTGGAGATGTAGTTCTGTCAAAAAGTGGTAAAACTGTTCTCTTCCTAGTTGTATCTGTCCACCTCTGTAGTATTCAATGGTAACCTCTCTGTGTGTATATCACTTCATTGATTTTGATCATAAATTGGCTTTTCTTTTAGAAATCAGAAAGTGTCTTAAAGTGTATCCAGTTTTATGCTGATGAAAATTTTAACTTAATAGTAAGTCCAGCCTTTACTTATATATTTTCCTCGTGTAGTTGGTTGCATTTCTGAACTACCAGTGATGTTGAAAAACAGTATTTAAGCGTTCAGGAACTAGTCCGACAGCTAGAGAATTTCCAGGTGGGGTTATGTGTTAGGTAAAGAAAAGAATTGAAAAGGTCAGTAATAAAATATACTTTGAGGAGTCAGAGTATCTGAGGTCTAAGAGTAGGGTTAGTAAACAATTAGGCTATTGCTAATAGTCTTAAGTGGTTAAATATCTTTATATTTGCCCCCCGAATAAACTGGGGGTATTAACATAGTGGTGGGAAACTAGGTAAAGATGTATAGGCAAATCAGAAAAAATTCATTCCCAGCTCAAACATCATAAAACATAATTTCACATGAAGCAAATGCTTGGTTAACTTTATAGTCAAGGAATAATAGTTGAACTATCAATTGAGATTGTATTCCATGGGTGTTATGGTGGTATAGTAATTGATCCTGACATATAGCCTTACTAAAAATGTACTCTATTAATTCCATTCAATTTCTGAAGTCATGCTGACATTGCCACAGAAGTATAATATTACAGCTGCTACCTTTTCCTCCAGTGGCCTGTTACGAGGCTTACGTGGCCACAGCTTTCCTTGGCTCCTTATAGGAACACCTTTTAAAAAGTTTCCTGGAAAAGGTTTGCCATGTCTGACCTTAAAAGATAGAAATGAACCCATTATGAAAAATGCATTAGGCTTTGATTATAAAGAAATAATAATTAAAAAACTTAACAGGATTTTTGTGATTGAACTTTTTTGAGTAATCCCAAGTGATGATGATAACTAAGCTGGAATTACTCAGGTGTATACAAAGGTTGTCTGAAGGTACTATGCTTTCCTTTCCTTTTGTTAAGATAATTTTTTGTTGCTTCCTTCTAACCCCCACTCCTGATTTTCAAGTTTGAAGTACCTTTGGACATTTCGTTTGGTGACACTGGATTAACGTAAGCAGTTCATGGATTACTTTTGAATTTTTAATAGATAAGTGGACAAAATGATACATGTTCCTACCTTCCCTCTAGGTTAAAGGACACTTAAGGGCAGATATTGGACAGACATGTTTTATTTAGTCCCTATGATACTTAGTGCAGTTCCATGACAACCAATTGACATGTGGCCAAGTGTTAAATTGTATCTTATCACAAATACCGGACTTCCCTGAGACGTATTTATGGAACAGTAGGGAAAACACAAGTTTTCTTTGTGGGGAAAATCCACTTCTCTATTATTCTTGATGAATGATCATAGTTAAACTAACCACTTTTTCCAAGAGTGATCTCAAAGTTCATGTGTAAAGTTAGTCACACGGATTTACAGGGTCCTTCTGATCCTATGAAATACTTCCATGCATTTTGATCTGTGGAGGTGTTTTTCTTTTCACCTGTGATTGAAGGAAAAGCTTCATATTCATTCTGATCATTAAATGGTTAGAGGTACACTATGGTTTTTTTTAAAGTTTTATTGATACCTTTTGATTTTATTTAACAGCAATCTCTTTGAATCTTCCCCTTCTGATTGGCTTTGTAATAAAGAAAATCAATTAAGCAAAAATTCCACATTGTGCCCTTCCTTGTTTCTGCTTTGAGAAGAGAGGCAGGTTTCATTCTTTGTTCTCCAGAGCTATTTTTGGTTTTCAATTAAGGAATGTCGTATTTAAAACAAACAAAGAAAATTCTATCCTCCTGTCCAAGGTATGATGCAGGTCATCTGAATAGCTGGACATCCGACTAGAGCTGGAACAATGTGGGGCAACTGTGACATGCAGAGGCCACAGCAGAGAATCCTTTTTCACATTTTTTCCTTGTGAAAGTCATGTTTTTAATGTCAGGAAAGCCACTCATCATATAGGTATTAATTTTGTGAAAAGTCAGGTCGTATGTATCACAATGAAGGCTGAACTCTTCCTTTAGGCACCAACACTGTGTGCATATGTATGCACAATTTTCCAAACTAGCCTAGAGCATGGAAATGCCTCTCCTAGTTCTTATTAATTTATTTTATCTATCTTCTCTTTTACCTAAAAGATAGAATGGCATGAGCGTACATGTGATGGAAGAAGATATGATAGGCATCTGAAAGAATTTACGCAAGGGTACCTACACATACTAGACCCGTCACTCTGAATTAGAATCGTGATAAATCTAAGCTGCATTACATCTTGCTAGTAATAGGTTTGGTTTTGTTTTTTAACCATATGAGAACTTTCATTTCTGCTTCAGTCAGAACATGAAGATAATTTCTCTCTCCTTTTTTTCTTGGTATTTTGACCTTGCATGTTATTGCAATGTCCAGTTTGTATTTTAGGGTGAAAAGAGAAATACCACAATCACTTGTATTTAGAAGCATCTGCTAGAAACAGGAACCAACAGGCCTTTAGAGAAAAAAAAAGTGGTCATCTAAATATTTTGGGACTCAGATTTCTCCATTTGGCAATAATGTATTATTTTCTTTGGAATTAATTAGTCTCATCTATGCTGGCTTTTGGATATGCTACTTCCACTGGAAAATTCATCTTCTTTTTCGAGAAGTCATAGAGTGTTAACTCACTGACAGTTGCCTATTGTTAATAAAAGGAAGTTCTATGCAAATGGAATGATTTCATTCTGAAAGTCAACATTCCCACCCATCTACTATTATTGAGCCAGATTATAGGGAAGAAAGAAAAGACAGAGAGAGTTAGGAATATTGTGAGGACTACCCAAAAACCTTTTATGGTACTTGTTATAAACCCCATAATGTTATTCACTGTCTTTTGGGAAATCTCTTTTTTAAATGTTTGGACAAAGATAAGTAAGAGAAATGGACCAAAAAACCCCCCATCAAAAGTGAAAAACCAACCCATCATTTTCCTCATGAAGTGAGAAGGTTGTAATTCTGTTTCTGAATAATTAAAGATAGGCATACTTTTAAAAAAAAGGCATCAGGAAAGGAGTGAAATATTTTAAAAAAGCATCTGAGGTAATTTAGCATGAATGTTTTCAATGATTGACATAAACTACTAGGAAGACATTGTCACTGGATATTTTCTTTAAGTTCTAAAATAAAACCATTTTCCCTAGTTCTTATGAGACAGCTACATAGCTCACTGAATAGGCTGGGTTGGGGGGTCAGGGTGACTTGAGGTCAAATGTGGCCTCAGATACTTACTCCTGTGTGACCTTAGGCAAGTCACTTCACCTATGTTGCCTCAATTTCCTCAAGTGTAAATAATAACACCTACCTCCCAGGGTTGTTGTGAGGATCAAAAGAGATCATATTTGTAAAGTGCTTAGCACAGTGCCTGGCATATAGAAGGCACTTCATAAATGCTTGTTTTCTTCCATCCTTCCTTCTTATGCATAAATAGGTTAATCAGAGCAGTTTACTGTTGCTTCTTCAGAGATGCTTAGGATGAAGGAAGTGATAAAGCTAGAATGACAGAGTTAGAAGAGACTTTGGTCCCAGTTCTTTATTTCATAGGTGAGTGTGGAAAACCTGAGGCTCAAAGCTGTTAGATGATTTGCCCACAGCGGTCACAGAGATTGGCTGAATTGAGACTAGAACCCAGGGCCCCTGATTTCTTTCTGCTATACCGATCCCTGTTATGTTTCAGTGACTATCCGTAACTTGTAAGAAGGAACACAGTGTATTTTGTAAAACTGTTTGCAATATTTTCTGTTCCTTTTTTTTGTTTATAGGCTTGTGAATTTTGGGTGTGAAGACTCTCAAAACCGAGAAATGTTATCCAAAGATCTGAATCTACGTGTTTTTACTAGTCACACAGGTAGTACCAGGTTTATCTTTACTTTGCTTTCAGTCACCATAATATATGTATACTAGAGTTCTCTAAAAATTGTCACATTGCTGACTTGTGGTTTTCAAAAAAATAACAAGATGAAATCTAATGGGAAAAATGTAAGGTCTGACATTTCTTACAAAGGCTAAAAAAATCAACTTTACAAGTACAAGAAGGAGGAGCTTTGGCTCAGCATTACTTTATAAGAAAAACCAAATATTTTAGTGGGCTACACACTCCATATAAGTCAAAAGTATAATGTGACAGCCAAAAAAGCTAATATGATGGTAGGCTGTTTTGGATTAAGGAGGTAACTATTCTGTTGTATTTCATCCATCTCAGGCCACAGTTGTATTCATTTCTGGGGGCCAACTTTTTGGAAGGAGATAGCTAACTTAGAGAGCATCTTGAGATGCTCTCAACTAGAACAGTGAAAAGCCTTGAGATCTTGCCACGTGAAGTTTGGTGATAGAACTGAGAATCTTAAGCCTGGAGAAAACATAGTTTGCAAGAAACATCCTGCTTCCAAAATCATTGAAGGTCTGTCATGAGGAAAAAGGATTTGATGAATCTGCTTGGGTGGAACTAGAGACAAAAAGAAGATACAAAAAGGCATATTTAGGTTTGACAACAGGAAACACTCCCTAAAAATCAGAGCTGTCCAAATGTAGAGTGGGCTGCCTCAGGAGATAGTTCTTCTTCATGAAATGACATCAAATGAGTCCGATGGTCACTTGTTAGTGACACTGTAGAGAAATAGAAGCTAACACTTATATAACTCTGTAAGTTTTGGAAAGCACTTTATAGACAGTATTTCATAGATTCCTGCTCAGGTAGAAGTTAGGTTATATGGGCTCTGAGATTTCTTCCAACCCTGAAAGTCTGTCATACTGTATTAGCCCTTTATCCTGATGCCAGTGTTATATAGAAGTGCCTATATTTAATATATAGTGCTTTCTGAGACATTTATTCAATCTTTAAGGATCTGAAATTTTATCAGTATGAGTTCTCCCTCCAGTGACATCTATCTTAGAGTCCCTCTATAACTCAGTAAATGGCCTTTGAGAATTTCTGTTGTGGGCCCCCCCAAAAAAAAAAATTACATTGTAACTGACCCATTGATGAGCCTCTCAAAATTTAGCTAGTTTGATCCTCTGACAACAGACATGCAGTGTTTCACCAGGTTTGTTCTTGCTGCTTTTCCATCCTGGCAGGATATTCCAGAGTTTATATTTCATTGGCTTCATCTTTAAGGACTATGCATACCATGATGAGCCAATGGAGTAAGACTTAAATGAGGGTTCTAAAAAAATGCTACTACAAATTGCTAGCAGCATTAGTAGCATTGCCCCCTCTCCCCACTTTATTCCCCTAAAGGCATTAGGACTGAGTCCAGGCCAACTTCTGTAGCCATAATCCAGGGAAACAATCCTTGTAAAGAGGGGCATCAGCTGGTAACTAACTGCTACTAATGAGCTGGTAAGCCCAAGAACCCTAGCAATAACACTCCCCAGGTCCCCAATTCTATTTCTGTCTCAGTCCTTCCAGTCATTGTCCAAGGGAGCAACCCTTGTAGAAATGAGATCTGGTAACTGCCTGTCTGAGATCTGTAACTTCCATCTACTCAGCAGTCATCCCTCCTAAAGACTCAGAAAAAAAGATCTTGTCACCAAAGACCTTGACACTGTCAGGTGGTTCAACATCAGAAAAGAATATGGTTTTACAAATGGAAATGACACTAAAGAAGATGCATTACCACTGCTTTGCCAACAAACTACTGGACCTTTCCGTCTGCCTCGTAATTGAATACTTCTATATGAATATATTGTCTGAGGTCCTTGAGTTCAGGGGCTGTCTTGCTTTTCTATTAGTATCTCCAGTGATGAGGACAGTGTGCTTTGTAGCATGGTCAATGTTGATTAAATTTTTTTTCATCAATTCATTCCTTCTAAGGTGTTGGATATTTAATTCAACTGTTAGAAACTTCCACATAGCTTGTCAAAAGAGTATGAAAGATAGTTGCATTTTAGGGAAGTATTCTTGTTATGGTACAACTTATTTCAGCCTTTACGCACGCCATAATTGAAACCCAACATATGATAGACGTCAAGTATGTTGCACATTTTTTTCCTGTGATCATGGCAAGGTATTGGAATAGTCATTGTTTAGATTCTTCCAGCCCAATGTTGGAAAGCTAAGGAATGTTTCTTTGTGTGTGTGTAATAAGGGAGATGAGAAAGGGAGGACAAACCATCCTAAAGACATCTGCCTAAAAGCTGTATTTTTAAAGAGTAAATAGTTAAGTCCCTTAGCTGTCCTCAGCATTCCTTATTTGGATGACTAATTTACCACCTGCCTTTCAGCAGTGTATGGAATTAAACTGCTTTCTATGGTTCTTTTAAAAATAACCTCTGTGATGTGTTTGTTCTTTCTTGAGTTCTGAGGTGGTGCTTTTCTGATTCACTTTTCTATTTTCATTGTCTACTGCATGATTTTATAAATGGGCTACTACATGCCATGTCATATTGAGTAAAATGCTTGATAAGTTTAGATGGCACGAGCTGTGAATGAGTCTGCTTTTTCCTCTGTCATCAGTGTCTGTGAGAGAAGAAAATGTGCCCTGTTCTCCACAGCCAACCCTGGAGACAGAATGCCGCCTATGTCAAATGGGATGCTTCCAGATTGGCTACGTTCAAGCACTTCTGAGAATCCTCTTTTGTTTTCTGACCAAGGGAATTAAATGATGAGTTGTAGGTTCCGAGGTTCACAGAAGGCCTTTTCAAATGACCTGTTTTGTATATGTAGTTCAAAAATCACTTCCTGAGAGATGGTGAATTAGAGAAGGATGGAACAAAACAGGTGGTCTGGTCCATCATGTCCAAGTCCAGTGTCATTATTTACGAAATAATAAGCTTAATTCTTCTCTGCATGCACACGAATGAATATAAATTCCCTAGTCATAGAAGGGAGGAAACTCTCATTCCTTTCCTCTAAAGTATTTAGCTCTAAAATGAAATTTAACTAAGAACTGAGTCTATTTTAATAGCCAATGATCTGCTGACTAAATCCCTCTTGAGGCACCTTCTACTGGAGAGGGATGGATAGAAAAGAACTCCAATCCTATATCACTTTCACAAAATTCAAAGGGCTTCCTTTTATTAATTCTCATAAAATTGGTTCTCCAGTTCCTGGGTAAGAAATTAAATTCGTATTTTGGTATTTTATGCAACTTGTTATAGTTGTTCCATATTATAATATCCTATGAAAAACTAATATTTTTAGTTCTTATTGTCAAAAAATTATTCACTAATAGCTAGCTGGTTTTGACATTCTTTCCTGATCCCTTTGATCAATGGGAATTTATAGCACATTCACAAGGTACAAGGGATTCGCCAAAAAGCTTTGCCTCTCAAATTATGACTTCTTTTCTGCCTCAAATTTTTCATGAACAGCAAATTTATGGTAGATTAACATAACTGACCATCCTGGGTCACCCTGCAGTAGCCACTGTTTTGTGATTTTCGATGTCCAAATACCAAATCCTTTAGTCATCAAGTAAGCACAGATATTTGAGTCACATTCCTGTTCACAGTATGGTAATTACACCAATGTGTTACATTGGTTGTGGTGGTGATAAGCAGCAAGATTTCCCTGTAGTTGTTAATGTTCTTTCCCTCTCAAATTGTCCTGGTAATACTTATCCGTGTACATGTTGTATCCTGAGCTGAATATATACTCCTTGGGAGCAGGAACTAGTTTTTATTTTGTTTTTGTATCCGCAGTGCCTTTTATGTAATTGGTGTCAAATAAATGTTTATTGGAATAGATTGTGACCTACTCAATGGATCTGGATCTACTTAATATTAAAAATTAGCCTTGAGGAATTTTCACTGGGCATATTTTCCTTTGGCACATCTTAACATCACTCCAAATTTCTTACCTGCCTCAGAATAATGATGTAATGAGTAATGGTTTTTGAGAATGATTTTTGAGAATTTTGCAAAAGAAAGCATTGCATAAATACAGAATTAGTTGGAGATTCCTGGTGCTGTAATACATTGGTATAATTACCATACTGTAAACAGGAACATTACTCAAATATCTGTTTTGACATAATGATTAAGGAAAGGGTATTTGGACATCTTTTCTTGTTGTTCTCTTTCTTTTACCTCAATGTAGTATATATGGTATAAGGACTTAGTCATTATATGCTATTGGTGAAGAATTAGAAGTGTGAAACATTCACTTCTTTGGGTTCCTTGAATATCCCAGCAATAAAAAAGGGATGGTTGGGGGGGGGGAGGTGGAGCATTGCAGCAACTATTGGGAAGGATCTGGGGCAAAGATCAAAAAATAGGTTTGGTGGAGGCAGCTAGGTGGCACAGTGCCCTGAGCCCTGAGCACTGGCCCTGAAGTCAGGAGGACCTGAGTTCAAATCCGACCTCAGACCAAACACTTAACACTTACTAGCTGTGTGACCCGGGGCAAGTCACTTAACCCCAATTGCCTAAAAAAACCAAAAACCAAAACAAAACAAAAAATAGGTTTGGTGGTCACAAGTAATCAGTAGACTTTGTAAATCTGGATAAAAGATGAATTCCTAAAATGACATAGGCTATGAAGAATAGAAAGGAGCAGGTAGCAAATTCATGGATTAGGGATTCAAAGGTAAAAAGTCTAAATTCAGCTTTCTACTACTACACTCTATGACTACATTTTTTTGTGTTCTTACATTTGAAAATGACCCAAACTAAGGATAGCTCCACATTGGGTGATAGTGAGGATCCAGAAAGTTCTTGATAGTCTAGAACAGTGGGCTAAATCTTTTTTGGGGGCTAGGCAGTGGGGTTAAGTGACTTGCCCAGGGTCACACAGCTAGTAAGTTATGTGTCTGAGGCTGGATTTGAACCCAGGTCCTCCTGAATCCAGGGCCAGTGCTCTATCCACTGTGCCACCTAGCTTCCCCTAGGCTAAATCTAGTAAGATAAAATTCACTAGAAGTGAATGCAAAGTCCTATGCTTGGGTTAAAAAAAAATCAATTTCACAAACACAAGACCTGTGGCCAGATGACAATTTATGTGAAAAAAATCAGAGGGATTTAGTGCTTTGTAAGTTTGATATGAGTCAACCAAGTGGCATGACAGTAAAAACAAAACATAAAGCAAAAAAAATTCTTAGATTTCATTGAGAGGCATAGTATTCAGGATGCAGGAAGGGATAGTTTCATGTAGCTCGCCCTGATTCAACCATGTCTGAAGCATTGTGTTCAGTTCTGGGAGCTATGTTTTAAGAAGTGGATTGGATATTTAGCCTTGAGTAGAGATGAGGTATCTTAAATTATTTGAAGAGTTGACATGGAAAATGGGGTAGACATATCCTGCGTGGTCCCAGAGGGTAGGACGAGGATAAAAAGCCTTCTAACTAGAGCTGTAATGGATGGCCTTGGGCAGTAATGAGGCCAGACTTCTTTAGAGGGGCCTTCAAGAAAAGCCTGTATGATCCTTTGTCTGGCCTGTTGTCGAGGTATACCCTCTCAGGTATGGGGTGAATTAGGTGGAGTCTGAAGTACCTTCCAACTAAGAAGTGTATAATGCTTTGCTTTAATCTGTCATCATATTACAGGTGAAGACATTCCTTTCCATACTTATGAATGGCTTTTAACAACTCATGGCAAATTTGTGTCTATTATTTAACCATTTATGTAAATTATGAGGAGAACTTTTAAAATGTTCTTAACATGGACATAAGGCATTTCTGCAGTTCACTCTTCTGAAGGCATTTCTCTTTGGGCAAGGGGTTGGGAGCCTTTGAGTTCCTCTGGTGACCAGGCCAGAGAGAATATAGGCACTTTACTGCTTTCCATTGCATAGGGCCTGTGAGTGCAAACGTAACTTTAAAATGCAGAATATGGACACAGAACTGTAAGTGTTCCAGTTAAAATGAAGTACCGAAACATCACACGTGAAGGCTGCTCGTAAAGAGAGAACAAAAGCCTCAGTTGTTGGATGAGGCATTCAGTCTGTGGAATTTTTTTTTAAAGAAGAAAAATAATAGAAAAAACCTCCAGTAATATTAATGAGTTGTGGTGTAGAAGCAGATAGTGCAAATTCATTTTTTTTGTTTCTCAGACTTAGAATAGAATTATATCATTTCCAGAATTTGAAAAAATTCATGTGTCAGTTCACAGTATTTGTTGAATTCACTCTTTGTGTGAAGCATTATTCAAGGCACTGTGAAAAGTTAGAGGAAATGAAAAACATAAACTCAGTCATTATGTAGTCTAATGATGGATGCAGCACAAACATGAAAATGTAAAAATAAACCCAAGAGATAGAGTCATACATAAAGCTGTAAACTATATTTAAAGCCCATCAACTAGCTTGATATTCATCAAAATAGTTAAATTTGGAGTTTGTATGCAGTGGTGTGCTGGTAAATGTTTAAAAACTAGTTCTCAAAAAAATACATACACAACACCCTTTTAAATTTAATCTGCATTATTACCATTTTCTTCATCCCTTTCTTAAGTCTAGAAACCGGTGAAACAAGAAATCAAGTCTTGATTTGTAGCATATACATATTTCTAAGGTATAAATAAATGAAAATTTAATAATCAGCTCTTACAAGCTGGTTGCAGCTGGCTCCAACATACTCTTGGTTGTATGTCTGTTTACTTCTTTCCAGCTGAGGGTTATTTAACTGATGGTTTCTGTCCAGATTAGAGATGCTCAGTATAACAAAAGGGTATATGTCTATAGAATGAGAGAACATCTAGAAAAGCATAATTTCAAGTAGTTCTGATTAACTGTATATTCTTTGGGATGCAAATCTGTTTGTAATATCATTGTCTACTGTTTCCTTTCTAGGAAGTTTGTGTGTATGTTACAACAAGAAATCAGATGCTCAGGAGCAAGTTACATATTCAGTGTTTTACCTCCATAAAGGTACTTTACTGGATGTTTGTTGAATGAACACCTACTATGTGCAGTGCATTGCCCAAGACTCTAGAGGAGGCACTAAGATAATTTAGTTAGATTACCTGAAGGGGTTGGTTTACAAATTAAATAGAAGGGAACACATTTGTTAAACATCTATTATGTGCCAGGCACTGTACTCAGTACTTTACAAATATTGTCTTAATTGATCCTCACGACAACCTTGGGAGGTAGATGCTATTATTATCCCAATTTTACACATGAGGAAACTAAGGCAAGACAGAGGCTAAGTGACGTGCCAAGGGTCACACTGCTAGTAAGTGTCTGAGCCTGGATTTGAACTCAGTTTGTCCTGACCCTAGGCCCAGTGATTTGTCCTTTACATCTATGTGTTTCACTTTGGCAGAGGGTTGTGACATAGATAAATATAGCATCGGTAGGAACATGTTAAATATAAAAAAGGACATTGAACTTTGAGAAGTGAAGGAAAGATAATTTCCAGTTTTGTGAAAGACTGGAGGGGATGGTGGATAAGAAAAGCCTTCATGGAAGAAGCAGTTATTAATGATGGACCTTGCATAGCATATTTGGAATAGGAATAGGCATTTTGGGATAAGGGGGGAAATGTGAGAAAAGGCTTGGGGGGAGGAAAACACAAAATAATAATAATAATAATAATAATAATAATGATGATGATGATGATGATGATAGACACTCGTGTAACATGTTAAGGTTTATATCTGCACAACACCACTAGGAGGTAGTTATTGTTATTTCCACTTTACAGATGAGAAAAGTGGTGCTCGTGGAATTAAAATGGCTTTCCTATGTTTATGTAACTAGTAAGTATCAGAGCTAGGTGTGGTCCAGTGGACTGCAAGTTTGTTCTTGGCCTATATTTTATTTTTGTATATTTTTTCCAAAATAGTAGAAGGACCTTGAAGGTAGATTGGAAAAGTCTCATTATAAACACATTTTTTAGACTTTCTACTGTTTTCTAGTTTCTCAGTGTTGGTAGTTTTCATATTAATGAATAACAGTTCTCTGAAGTACAGTAAGAAGGAATATTTAGTTATTGTTAATAATACTTTGGCCTTGCATAATTTCTTTTTGGACTGGAATAATGTTTCTTCAGATCTTGGGCCTACAAGTCATGCTAATATTATTACTGTTCTTCAGAAAGAGAATACAGATTTATTAATATTTATTCCCATATGGTTAAATGCTGTTTGAGCAGCTAGGAGACAGTGGCTAGAGCATTGGGATAATGGATAGACTCATCTTGAGTTCAAATCCAGCCTCAGACACTTGGTAGCAGTGTGATCCTGGAAGTCACTTAACCCTGTTTGCCTTAGTTTGCTCACCTGTAAAATGAGTTGGAGAAGGGAATGACAAACAACTCCAGTATCTTTGCTAAGAAAACCCCAACTGGGGTCACGAAGAGTCAGGCATGACTGAAACAATGGAACAATAAAAAGTTGAATGCTACCAACAACTTTCCATGGTGGATAGAGGCTGGTCTCAAGGGTCAGAAAGGTCCTGGCTCAAGTCCCATATCTGGCACATGCTGGTTTTGTGGCTCTAGTCAGTTTCCCAGGACTCTAGTACTCTAGGGTATAAGTTTCAGAGAAGGTGCCAGCCTGTGTTGAGAGAGGGAGTTTCCTCAACTGGGAGTTCTCTTTATCAATGAAATCACAGGTCTAGTTCAAAATTGATTCATTCATCATCCAGTATAAAATAGATAAATTGGTCAGTTTATTCCATCTCACAGGTAGGAAATCTGTGGCACAAAAGTCAGGAAATCAAGACATTTTTGAAACCTAGTCCAAAAATACATTCATTAAATTGATTTAGAAGATAAGTGTATATCTAGCTATCATCTATCAATTTAGAGGGAAATCAGCGCAAGGAATGTTACTAATTCATATATCCTGTACATAGTACAGGTTATGGCTAACTAATGATGAGTTGAATTAAAATAATTTTGGAGTAGATCTTAGTAAATCTTTTTGTATTTATCTGCAAGGTTGAACTGGATCCAGCCATTGTGCAAGAGTTATATTACCATCTTAGCCTTGAAGTCATTGCCAACAAACAAAAAATCCTTTTTAGTTTTCCAGGATAGAAAAATATTTCCATAGTAGGAGAGTAAAAGCAAATTGAGACCTAAATGTATTTGTATATATTTAAAATAATAAAATGACATTACTTTTTATGGTTTAGAGCTATGGGAAAAGTCTTTGATAACTTAATTAGATTTTAGAATTTAAAACCAATAATGAGGGAATCATCTGAAACATCAGGGTAAGGAAAATGGGGAATGAAACCTAGTAAACTCAACACAGTTGTGATTTATGTGAATAGCATGCCAGACTAGAAGTGAGACCTTTGGGGGAAGAAGAGAGTAGTTTTACAGGATCTTGTTGGCCAAGGATCAGCTATAGATAGCAGTGAATAATGGAATATATGTACATGCCCTTCAACTCATGGATATGGCCGAACAAGAAAATCCTTTTTGCAAAGCCTTCCCTTTCTTAAAAAAAGTTTTCTTAAAACTCTTTCTTGGAAAATGCAGGATTTATGGTTGCCATAGGTTACCTTTATTCCCTGGGTCTTCCTTCTCATCTCTCCCCAATTTTTTCCCTAAGACCTATGGTAATGCTAAGTAACAGATAAGAATTATGAGACCCCCACCCTATAACTGGTTCCTTGTGTATATACTCAGAAGACAAGCTGAATGTATTGTTGGGTTTTAGAGGATAGTATGGGACTGTAGAGCTAAATGCCATTATTCTACTCTATTTCATTTTACAAAATGCATATAGTTTTTTATACTGCAGTAGCTTTCTTATGTAGAAGTTTTAATGAATATTTATATTGTCATCTATTTTGTACTGCATAAATAGGTCTCATAATTTATTTCCTTAGGGTATAGCAAGACCTTCGCTGCTGAGCTTGGGACACTGGAGCACCAATCAATGAAGAATATTACTTTTCTTAATCTAGGTAGGAGATTGGATTGCACCTTTCTTGTCATTTCCCCTCCTCCTGTTAAGTAGATGATATTTTCTAGTCTTCCAGAGAGCATTTTTAAAAAAAATTCTGCAATTACATTGCCTCTTTGAGACTGCTATTATTTCTACTATAATCATTGAGTTATGAAGACTCAGCTAAATCCCTGAAGGAGGTTAACCAGCTGGGAACATTTTGAGAAAAAATCATTCTCCTTTTTATCTAGAAACTGGGCTGTATGGCCTCCTGTGATTTTAGGGTAATAGTCGTGAAAGGGCCACACTGTGAATGCTTCCAGTTTCTCAAGGGTAATATAAAAAATGTTATCAACAAATAAGGTGTTCTCCAGCAGCCTATAGGAAGTAAGCATAGAATCATATAGTTAGTGTATGTTATTCTTGGGACGGTAAGAGCTTATAGAACATTTGGAGTCACCTGTTCATCTTGGGGCTTTTCATCATATAAATTTAGGAAAAGGCATTTTTGGCATTAGGTTGAGTTTTTTTTTGAAAGTGTAGGGATCAAATAACAACTAAATGCTAGGCATTGTGGCACATGAGGCTAGTCTCTGCTATTGGGGAGGGAGAGGATGGTGAGTTCTGAAATACCTAATGCTGATTGTGTGTCCACACAAGTCTGGCACCAATATGGTCCAGTCCCCAGGAGCAGAGGGTCATTAGGCTACATAAAGAATGACAAATCAGCCTAGATTGGATATGGAGCCCGTGAAAGCTTCCATGCTGATCAGCTGTGGGATCAGGTCTGTGAGTGAGCTGCCCGTCCAGCTTGGGCAAGGTAGGGAGGCTGTGTATGTGTGTGTGTGTGCGCGTGTGTGTGTGTGTGTGGCACACATACACAGGCAAAAGAAATACACACACATAGGTAGAGGCATAGACAAAGATACGCTGGCCTTGTTATTTTGTTGATAAAAGGAACTCCCAGATGAGAAAACTTCCTCAGCCAAAACATATTGGCACCTTCTCTGCATCTTATAGTCTTAGAGACTTGCCTAGAACCTTAAGAGGTTAAACAACTTGTCCAGGGTAGAAGTATCTAAAGGGCAAAATAAAGGCAGAGGTGTCTAATGTCTAGCTCTTTCCCATTCTTTCCTATTCCCTTAGAGAGGTAAAGCAGCCTGATTTAGCAATGGAAGTTACTACTTGTAGTAGTAACTCTATTTATAAAATTAATCTGTCATATATGGGATATAGCGATTGTTTAAAAACTGTAATTCCAGTCATGATGCACTTGCTAGGAATAGGATGATGGGTTTTTTTTCACAATTTGTTCATTTTCCTTCTTATGAAAAAAAGTCTTCATTTTCACATCATCCTCTATATCGTTCACCATCCAATCCCACTCTTGTACACTCCCTTGTCTAAAGATAGTCAAGCAGAACCATCCAATGCAGCAAATGTGTCTGTCTTCCATCTGCCATATCTGGCTTGTGTAGCCAGTCAGTCATCTGGTTTCAGTATTATTAATTGCATTAATTTTGGGTTCATTTGCATTTTTTGTTGCTTTATGTTATTATAATCTATTTCTTTAGTTCTGCTTATTTTCCTTTGTTCATACAAGTCATCCCATGTTTCTCTTTTCATATTTGTTATTTTTACAATACCATAATATTCCATTCCATTAACATAACATAATTTGTTTATTCATCCCCCAAGTAATGGGTACCCACTTTGCTTCCAGTTTTTGCTACCATAAAAAATGTGCCTGCAAATAATTTGGCTCATGTGAAACCTATCTTTTTTCCCTTTGGCTTCTTTGGGGTTCATAACCACTTGTGAGATTGTTAGTTGACAAGAATTTATTGTTGTTCATCCTTCGTTCTTGAAGAGGACCAGTGACATCATGAGGGTAATGTTATGACTTGCCCATGAATTGGATTTTAAAGAAGGGAGAGCTGCACAAAGTTGTCAGCCGCACTTTCTTCTCCAGAGCCATAACTCTTTCTATGGGCCACTCATTGTGCAATGTGATGGGCATACAAAGCAAAACTAGTTCCTGCCCGCCAGGAGCTCACATTCTAATAGGGGCGCACAACATAGAAATGAGTAGGAACATTCAAGATACATACAGAGTAATTGGAAGGTCCTAGCAGCTGGGGCGGAGGGAGTGGGGATGGGGAACACCAGGAAAGGTCTCCTTCAGAAGGAGGGATTTGAGCTGAATATTTTTTTTAAGGCAGTTGGGGTTAAGTGACTTGCCCAGGGTCACACAGCTAGTAAGTGTCAAGTGTTTGGTCTGATGCTGGATTTGAACTCAGGTCCTCCTGACTTAAGGGCCAGTGCTCTATCCACTTCACCACTGTGCCACCCAGCTGCCCCCTTGAGCTGAATTTTGAAGTAAGCCTGGGAAACTAAGAGGCAGAAGGGAGGAGGGGAAGGGTTCCAATCCACAGCTTTACCAACAGTGTATAGTGTGTTCCTGCTTCCAATTTGCTGGGTGTGAGGTGAAGTCTCCAAGTTGTTTATTTTGTTTTTCTTATTAGTTATTTGGAGAAATCTCTCATACTTGTTAATAGAGTTCCATTCTTTTAAGAAGTGTTCAAGTTCTTTGACTACTTATGCATTGAGGAGGTGAATGTATCTTTGTCTGATATGTGTGTGCTAAATACCTATAGCTCTTGAATATCAAATTCCTATCGGAGATATTTATTATAAAAATTTTTTCCCCAATCGAAATCGATTGCTTTCCTTCTTATTCTATATGTACTTATTTGAATAAAACCTTTCTAATATCACATAATCAAAATTAATTTATCTTTTGTGTTTGCTTCTGTCTGGTTAAGAACTTTTTTCTTACCAATGATGGGGAAAGGTATCCCATCTGGTTCTGTTTTAGTTTTCTGTTTGTTTTTGTTTGACCTTTTATGTATCCATTTTGAGTTTCTTGTAGTATGTGGTGCAAGATCTTAAGAGGCAGCGTGGTACAAGGGAAAGACCACTGATTCTGGAGCTCAAATTTCACCTCTGTTGCTTACCATTTGTGTAACCTGGGCAAGTCCCCGAACCCCATTGGGCCTCAGTTTCTTTATATCTAAAATGAGAGAGTTGGACTAAATAGTCTCTGAGGTCTCTTTTAGCTCCTGATCAATGATGCTTTGTTGATCCAAATCTAATTTCTGCTAAATTGCTTTCCAGCTTTCCCAGATATACTTTTTTTCCCCCTTTTCTCTCTCTCTCTCTTTTTTTTTCTGGTCAGGTAGTTGGGATTAAGTGACTTGCCCAAGGTTACGCAGCTAGTGAGCGTCATGGGTCTGAGGCCAGATTTGAACTCAGGTCCTCCTGACTCCAGGGCCAGTGCTCTATCCATTGCATCACCTCGCTGCCCCTTTCCCAGATATTCTTATAAAATGGGACCATCTTCCCAAAGTCATTTTAAGTTTTGGGTTTTATCAAACACGAGTCAAATTCAGTCGTTTCTGATTTTACCTCATCTACTGAACTATTTCTCTGTGTGTGTGTGTGTGTGTGTGTGTGTGTGTGTGTGTGTGTGTGTGTGTGTGAAATCAGTGCCAAGTAGTTTTGATGCATAATGCTTGTTTGGCTCTACAATCCTTGTTTTACAGCTGAGGAAAGTGAGGCAGGAAACTAGCTGTCAGTCATCATAGTTATATTTTCAGCCACTGAGAAGATTCACCTGAGTTTTCCAGATGAAACAACAGCAAACACAACAGAAAGAAGAACGTAAGAGAGAAGTTAATTTGGAAGAAATTGTTATTGGACACACCCAAGAGTGCTATATCTGGAGTCAGGAGAGGCCTGACACAAAGGCCTCTGGTGCTTACTAGCTGTAAGGCCATTGATTTAACTGTCAAAAAGGCGCATAAATACTGATGCTTGATTTCCTCATCTGTAAAATGGGGCTCATGATACCTGTGTCGTAACTACCTTACAGTTTCAAATGAGATTTATTTTTTGTAAAGAGCTTAACAAACTTTAAAGCGCTATGCAATTATCTGTCATTATTGTCGCCTTTATCTTCATCTAAACTGATAAGATGGGCTGAAAGAGAGGTCTGTGGTTTTGTGATAATGATTAAAAAAATAATGATCTGTCTCCTGGGGTTAATGCCAGGTTCCTGAATTGATTTTCATCCGAAAAGCCCTGAATTCTGGTTGCCCAAAACAAAATAGTGTCTTTCTTTTTGACAGACTATTATGTGGCTGTTTATCTGCCTGGCCATTTCTTTCATCTCCTTAACACTCAGCATCCTGATTTGATGTGCTACAGTCTGTTTCTCACAGGTACAGTGACAATTTTTTAAAATGGGCATGTCACGTTCAGCAGAATGGGAGTAGTGATGGCGGTGGTTTTCTGCCTTTACTGATTTCCATTTTTTTTTCCCTGCCTTTCTCCCTAGGAGAGAATGAAACGATGAACTTGATTCCTGATGGCCCATTACAGTCCCTCTCAGGGGCTTTGGCTTGGGACTGGTGCTCTGGAAAGCTCTTTAGAGTGAACTTTAACCAATCATCTTTATTACATTTCCTACAGAACAGCCCTCTGGACTATGAGAGGTTGGCTGTGTTGCACTGTGTGCTTGCATGGGGCAGGAATCCAAAAGTCCTAGAAGTCCAGGTTAGAACGCAGCTTGTATTTTAAAACCTAGACATGGACTAGCAAACCCATGTGAATCTTCTTAGTAGTCGAAAATATACTTGCTATTTTTATTTGCCAGCTGCTAGTTGTGTTTCACCGCCTCTTCTTACCGTAGTCCTCCACTCTGTTCTCAAGTTCCCCAATTATAACACCTCCATTCAACTTCACTAAATAATAGAATCATGAAGATGTGCCTACAATCTAGATTTCCCTTTTCCTTAATTAAATATCTATGTGCGTATCACTGCCTGACATGCACACACACTAGATGTTCAATAAAATGATGAGGTTCTCAAAAATCTGTTTCACCAAGGTGGTTATGATACGAGTGGGGCTGGGCATTTGCTCCATGTAAGAAATATACTAGAACTGCAAACATAAATCACATGAATGTAACAAGACCCGTCACAACATGGAATTCAGTGTAAAGCAAATCTCTCTTGGAACTCATCTAAGGGAATTTATTAGATAGATATATCAGAAGTACCTCATTTTCCTGGTAGACTATAAGCTTATTGAGAATAGGGACTATTTTTTTCTTTGTCATGGTGTCCTGGAAGTGCCTAATAGGATAAATACTTGTAGGATGAATGAATGAATTACAATACAATTTCACCTCTAACAGAATCTTGCATTATGGGCCTTTGAAGATGGCAAAGAAATGTTTTTTTAAATTCTAAATAGAAATATGAATTAAAATTGTACATATAACAAGTTGACTTGCCTTTAAAAATACCAACAGATTTTTTTTTAACTTTTTAATTTTTTAAAGATTATTCAATGGATTTTTGAGAACATGTGGACCTGTCGTGCATTTGATCCTATTCAGGAATTTTTAATCGGTAGGTGTGGCTGATACTGCAGTTTAAATATTTGATCTTTTGCTTTCAGGGACACAGTAAATTGATGATGCTTCAGTCTGTCGTACTAACGCTTAGGAATGTTTTTACTTTGACTGTGGTAGTCAGTGGCTAATTAAATTTCATTCTCCTGTGACTAGCTATTCAGAGATCGATGAGATGTGATGCTAGTCCTGAAGCTTGTGTTAATGATTTTTAATAAGGTGTAATCTTCTTAGGATAGCCATGAGCTGCTTTCATAAAGACAGCATAAAATTCCTCTATTATTTTGCTTTATGTGAGCATCAAGTAATTTGCAAAAAATACATTTATTATGTATATTTATTTTTTAAATTTTATTTTCAATTCACAGAACAAAACAAGCATTAAAAAATATATATTATATAGTTATAACTATAGATAGTTTGTACTTAAGAACTGATCTAAAAGATCACAGTTTTCAAGATATAATAAATAGCTAAAATCAACATGTTGGAGAGTTTTTAGAGCTGGGGGAAGAGGCCATGGAAAATATGTCTTTCTGATGATTTGTAACTTCCTCTGTACTGTTATTATTAAACACTCTTTTTTTAATCCATCCAGCCTCCTTATACTGGAAATTCTGTCTGGACATAAGTAACATGGATAAACTTCTTCCACATTCCTCATTACGTTCCTGGAATACAGTAAGTCAGTATAGTTTCTAATGGCTGTGACACTAAGACATTTTTATAATAACTTAGTCTAAGAGCAGTGGGACTTGAGTTCACTGTAGTTGCTGAAGAGCTATAGCAATGGCAGTGCTCCAAGACTTCTTCCACTCTGCCATTCACCAGTTGTGCCAGTGACATTATTGTTTTGTGTATTCTTTTGTCCCATAAGGCAATCCTGAAGTCTAACAAAGACTTAATATGTAGATCCATTCCCAAAGTTCCCAAGGCTTCAATTTGATAAGGCCCAAATGAATAAGGCTCAGTAACTTATAAAAATGCATCCATTGGTGGAGTGTCAAGATGAGGGACAAAGTAACTTCTATAAAGCAAACACAATCCAACCAAACATTTTCCTCTTGCCTCTCAGGACCCTGCTCCTATCAGGAAATCTAAATGAAGAGGTTATACCCTTCCTCTTGGGGCACAGTGTAACACACTGGTAATTTGTGGGACTAGAGAAGTGAAAACATTGTGTCTGAAAGCTGCCCTGCTTGTTCTCCTGTTCAATTTATGTCAAAGCTGAACTGTTAGTTTTTGAGGCAAAGATTGATGCAAGGAAGATAAAACCCATTTGAGGTAACCAAGGTGTTGAGAATACTGTAATGACTTTAATGTTAACCCTTCACATTTAATATTCTTAGAATTAGTACTGGAAGGGACTTCAAACTTCATCTAATTCAACACTCATTTTACAAAAAAGGAAACTGAGGCACAGGAAGGTTATGAATTGCCCAGGATCACACTGATAGCGACAGAGATGGGTTTGAACCTAGACACTATGAATCAAAATACGGCACTCTTTCCTTACTAGGTGGCAATTCCATTCAACATTTATTATCTATCTTCTATGGAACATGAATGAAAGTGAAAGATAGTGAATAATTTAGTTTGGCTGCTATATAAAGTGTGTGGAAGGGAATTGTAAGAGAAAATGTCCATAAAACATAGACATTAGGGCAGGGAGGTGGTACAGTGGATAGAGTCAGGAGGACCTAACTTCAAATCTAGCCCCAGACACTTAGCTGTGGCAAGTCACTTAACCCCAGTAGTCTCAAAAGAACAAACAAACAAACAAAAAAATAGACATCTTGAGAGCAAGAACTGGTTTACATTTTTTTATTTGTATCCTCAGGGCCTTATATGTAGTAGGTTCTTCAGAGAAAGTTAATAGAATCATAGACTTAGATGTGAAAGCAACTGTAGAGGCCATCTGTTCCAACCCCCTCATTACATGTGAGGAAACTGAGGCACAGAGAGATTAAGTGACTTGCTCAGACATTAAGTATCTGAGGCTGGATTTCCACTCAGATCTTCCTGACCACCGATCCCAGCACTCTATTCATTATTCCACACTATTTCTAACTGAGTTAGGGTTTGTTGATTGACTTGGTGCCCAGGCTGTGAAGAGCCTCAAATGCCAGGTTAAGTAGCTTAAACTGGATTCATGAGGCAAGAGGGAGTCAGTTTGAGTAGAGAAGATTTAGTCTATGAAAATAGTCCCTGAAAAGTAAATACTGGCTGTATTTGAAGCAAAATGGAAAATTTTGTTAATCTCTAAACTCTTCAAACTTTTGTGGAGGCCTAATGTTTACACTTTTCTAAAAGCCCTTCTTCCCACTTCAGACTGTCTTTATGCAGTTGCCAACCTCTCAATCTGTTTGGTGCAATTTTCCCCCTACCACTTTGTCCTTTCATCCCTTTTATTTAACTACAAGCTCAAAATAAATGCAGAATCTGTAGCAATGCAACAGGAAGTTTATAGGTTAAACCACATTGAAGCTAGGAAATGTATGAGCTTTCTCCTTCCCTGTCCAGCCCACTTATTTCCCCTATGTTGTTAGTTAGACTGATTTTTTAAAAGTACCTCATTATCAATGCAAAGAAACAGAGAGGTTAACTTATCCACATAATTTCACATATAGATGTTTTAGCTGGATGTCATCTGAGTGAGTTGCCTTAGGAAAAAGAGCCTTTAGTTTGTGTGGATAAAGGAAAATGGTGGTTTATAGTTAATATCTCCCTTGGTCAGGGTCTGGGTCCCTGCCTTGCTCCTGGGAAAATGAGAAGTCCCAATATAATATACATAAAAGAAATATGACTTCACGATTTGCATATGCTAAGAAATTTGCTTAGAAAACCACTTATAACCACTTTCTAGTTTAAGGGCTAATGTATTACTTTAAATGGCTTATCTTTAGCAATTATAGACATCGGTTAACCTCTTATTTCCTCAGTTTGTAAATGTGTGTAATGCTGCCTGGGCACTTGGTAAATATGCAATAAAGAAAGATTTGTTGGTTTATGGCCACAGCAGAAGTAATAGGTTCACCTTGCTTCTATGTGGCAACATAAAAAAGAACACTGTAACACTGTATTTGTAAGGACGCCAAAGAATACGGTGCCTTTTGTACCCACAGAAGAAAGATAATGCTGCAGTTTGGTGGCATAGAAGACAGAGTATTGGGCCTGAAGTCAAGAAGACCTGAGTTCAAATGTGACCTCAAACACTTACTAGCTGTATGACACTGGGCAAGTCACTTAACCTGTGTCTACCTCAGCTTCCTTATCTGTAAAATGGGAATAACCATAGCACCTACCTCCCAGGGTTGTTGTGAGGCAACACACAGTGCGATAATATTTATAAAGTGCTTTGCAAACCTTTAAGTGCTACATAAATGCTAATTACTACCATTATTATATTCTCCAACAGTTTTAGAGATAATAAAATTTGCTATCATTAGGTTTTAGTTTTTTTCAGCCGTTTCAGTTGTGTTTGACTCTTTGCGACTTCATTTGGGGTTTTCTTGCAAAGATGCTGGAGAGGTTAGCCATTTCCTTCTCCGGTTCATTTTACAGATGAGCAAACTGAGGCAAACAGGGTTAAGTGACTTGCCCAGGGTCACATAGCAAGCAAGTGTCTGCAACCAGATTGGAAGTCAGGGAGCTGAGTCTTTCTGACTCTAGGTCTGGCACCCTGTCCACTGTTCTACCTAGCTGCTCTTGTCCTTAGGTAGGAATATTATAAATAATTTGAAGCCATGGTAAGATTTTAATACCTTTTTTTAAAAAAAAAGTATCCCCCAGATTAGTCTAGTAGGTTGTGATAGATCAATTTCTGTCACAATTCTTTTGTCTCACTTTGGCACTAAGCCACTGGAACATTTTGTGTAGTTGTTTGCTCTGCTTGTTCTCCCTCTACATAACAAAGTGCCTAGAACGTAGGTCCTTGAGAAATTCCCATTGACTGATCAATTAACTGACCTGTAAACTGGGATGCATTGTTTCTCCAGAATATTGTATGCCAGTAATATTAGCTGTAGGTATTTAAGTTCTAATTGAGAACTATTATTGGTAGTGTATAATGTTTACTTCCAAAGTGTTTTTTTTTAATCTTTCATCAAAAACATTTTTTAACAAATGGACTAAAAATAGTTTTGTGATATGTAATTAAAAATAAAGCATACTTTTTGGGGGAATTTGAAATGAGATACATATTTTCTATAGTAAACCTTTTATTGTAATTTTTGTTTTAATTCTATTTAACAGAATTCCATTGTTTAGTCTCCCTAGGATTAACTTGTGTGGTATGTTTGCTATGATGAGGTACTAGCTATGACTGAAGAGCTCTTAACTTAGGTGCTATGGTAGAGGATGCTCTAACCTGAGAAGTCTTACCGCTAACAACAGAGGGAACATGTGGTAGAATGATTAGGCAAGGACTTGGGTTAAAAATCTTATCTTTGCCTCTTACTATCTGAATGATCTTGAACTAACCTCTCCAAGCCTCATTTTTCTTCTCTGTAAAATTAAGGGGTTGAGCTAGGTGCTCTCTAAGGACTTAAGGCATTTGGGTGGGCAGTGGGCAAATGCTGGGGCTGGAGTGAGGAGGCTTGAGTTCAAATCCAGCCTCAGATACTTACTAGCTGTGTGATTTTGGGTAAGTCATTTAACCACTGTCTGCTTCAGTTTTCTTATCTGTCAGATGGGGATAATTATAGCACCTATCTCCCAAGGTTGTTGTGAGGGGCAAATGAGACAATAATTATAAAGCTCTTAGGAAAGTACCTGGTACATTGTAAGAACTATATTTAGACTTGTCCTTCTCTTTATGACCCCATTTGGGGTTTTCTTGGCAAAGATGCTAGAGTGGTTTACCATTTCCTTCTCTAGTTCATTTTACAATTGAAGAAACTAAGGTAAACAGGGTTAAGTGACATGCCCAGAGTCACACAGCTGGTAAGTGTCTGAGGCTGGATTTGAACACAGACCCTTTATGAGCTTTATAAATGTTAGCTAATACAACAACAGCTACTACAACTAGTACTACTACTACTACTACCGCTACTACCACTACCACTTCTCCTCCTCCTCCTCCTCCTCCTCCTCCTCCTCCTCCTCCTCCTCCAATTACTACTACTGTTACTACTACTACTTCTTTCCAGCTCTAAATATTTTCCATTAAAGATTACCCAATAAGTGATGTTCCTTAGAACACAGGTAGGGGACAATTTTAATGAATATGAGATAACATAAACAAGAACAGAGAGGAAATATTGAGGATCTTTATAGATAGAAAATGCTTTCTCTTGATTTTATGACTACATTTCTTATTTGTACAGTTCCTAAACCATTCGATGAAGAGAATGTAACCTGCCTCTTTTTTTTTTTTGCTTATTGTTTTTGTATTTTTGCAAGGCAATTGGGGTTAAATGACTTGCCCAGGGTCACACAGCTAATAGGTGTCAGGTGTCTGAACTTAGGTCCTCCTGACTCCAGGGACAGTGTGCCACTGTGCCACCTAGCTGCCCCAGACCCATCTCATTTGCTTGCAAAATTGATATGCTAAAAAAATTTGTACGTGGCACCATGTTAAAAATTGACTGTTTTTTCTGTCTTTTTAAATACATATCTTTAAAAAGCAGTTTAGGTTGTCAAATATTTTAATCCGGACTTGGGAGAAACTTTCCTTGTCTGACGTCAAAGATAAACTATTTTCAGCTTCTTCTGGGTAGAGATTAGAAAATTATATGATGTTTATTTAGCCTGAGCTCTGCTCAGAGCCAATGGTGTAGTCTCTCATCTATGTCAAAGTATGAAAAGCACTTCAGGCAACCTTCAACTTGTGGTGAGCTGGTATTAATGGAAAATTAACAATTTTCTCTGACTATAGGAAATTCCAGGAGTAACCTCAGTGACAGAAGAGATATTGTTACCTCTAATGAAGGTAAGGCCCTGGTGGTGATCTGAAATGAAAAGCTAGTGACCTTGTCTCTTTTCAAGGTTGACAATTAAAGGTTATAAGAAGCCTAACAGGTCCGGTCGAGGATGGAACAGAGGAGATCCCCGGCTTAGTTTGAACTGATGAGTGCCTACTCTGTGTAGCACCATAATCTTATTTTTTTAGGCTATAAATAGTAATATCTTTTTCCATAATTACATGTAAAAACAATCTTTAACATTCTTTTCTTAAAGTTTTGAGCTCCAAATTCTATCTTTCCCTCCTTCTTTTGCTCCCTCCCTGAGGTTGTAAGCAATCAGATATAGATTATAGAAGCACTATAATCTTTTAAAAGTTACTGTATTAAAGAGAATTTCCTAAAGACAGAATATACAGCTTAACTCAACCCATCAATAGCTAATATTTATGTAGCACTTACCAGGCACTATACTAAACACTTTATAATTATTGTCTCATTTGACCCTCACAAAAACCGTGGGAAGTAGGTGCTGTTATTAGCCCCATTTTACAGATGAGAAAACTGAGGTTAAGTGACTTGTCTAGAGTCATACAGCTTCTAAGTATCTGAGGTCAAATTGAACTCAAGTCTTCCTCACTCCAGGCCTGGTACTGTATCCACTCTTATTTTTGTGAACTTCTAGGCCTTGCCAAAATGGTATGTTTGTGAGCTTAATGTGTGGGAGCTGTTCATCAACTTAGCTCTTATGGCCATTCTCTCCTTTCCCCACATTTGGCTGCTCCTTTTTCCTGTCTTTATATCCAATCAGATAATAGAAGCCACTGGAAGTAGAGGAGTTGATGCCCTATCATAAAAAGTTTTTTAAGGCAGTTGGGGTTAAATGACTTGCCCAGGGTCACACAGCTATTAAGTGTCAGGTGTCTGAGGCTAGATTTGAACTCAAGTCCTCCTAACTCCAAAGCTGGAGTTCTATCCACTGAGCCACCTCACTGCCTCATGTTGCCCCTGTCAGATTAAGTCTAGTGTCTACTTCATGCTTGTTTCTCCTTTCTCTGCCTTCTTCCATGCCATTTCCCACATGCCCATCTTAACCATCTTACAAATGATCATAGACACCGAAGTTAGGACCTACCAGCTCCCTTCTCATCACAATGGCAGCTTGTCAGTGCGTTCAGGAATTGCAAATCATGCCTTAAGATCTGGACCCAGGCATCTCACACACCCGTTCCTGCCCATGAACTACATCTATTCATGTCTTTGGAATCCAGCGGTTTCAGAAGGATTGTCAGACACAATAGACAGAAGGAGGGAGTAAAGAAGGATACGTATGTAATTAAAAACGTGGGAGTATTTTAGCAGAGTTTCCTTGAAGATCCTTTGTTGTTTCTGGCAGCGCCTCCTGTTAATTATAGGCTGGCGCGTACTGGGAAATCTCAATTTCTGGCCGTAAGCAGCACATGTCAGCTTACTGTGCTTTCTTCCGTTATTGACTTTTGATTCCTTTGGACACACTAATATTAGACCAGGAGCTAGACAGCTGGCGGGAAAGCTGGGACGTGTTTGAGGTCACTGTGATGCAGCGGGGTGGGAAAACAGCAGCTGGGGGAAGGATTTGGCGGTTATGATTTTTGGTTCCCAAGAGGGGAATTGAAGCATGGACAGAAAAGCTATGTTGCTGGGCAGAAGTGTGGATAGCTGATGCCCTACTATGGACTGGGCTGGGAGGGGTGCCAGGGAAGAGAAAGAGGAATAAAAATTTGGTTGACAGCTTCCCACCCATCAATATATTCTGTAACAAATGGCATTAGTCCTGCCTGGAGGGAAAAAAAGTGAATTATTTTTATGTTGTCTGCTGTGTTCCCTTGCCACTCCCTGCTTTTCCCCACCTCTTTTTTTCTTTCTCTCCCTTTCTTCCTTTTCACTCATTCTCAGAAACAAAGGCTTTTAACAATACAGCTCCAAATATTGTATTAGTTATTGTTTCCCAACTGTTTTTATTCCTAAGGGAGACATGCTGCTAGCCATTCTTGTAGCTGGGGTATGTTTTAAGAGCTATGCCCTCCCTTTCCTTTCCTCTCCCCATTTTAATGCAGTTAGGAATAGGGTAGGAATTGGTACAAAGACTGGCCTGAGTCAGGACTGCTTGGAGAGGTTATAAACTGGATGCCTTCTCCTTTAAAGCTGTCTGCCATTCAACTTCTGGAACATAAACTGGTGGTATTAAGGTCTGGTGGCGTTTAGTCCTAGGATCCCCTACCTACTTCCCCAGTGCTGGGTCCTGGCATTACTTTTCCTTAATGCATCTATAAAATGAGAAGGTTGTACTTGAATGAACCTAAGGCCCATTTCAGCTTTAAATCTGTAAATAGTGTAGTTGCATTTCATTCTGAGTTGCTTTTTTCTTTACTTGTAATTTGAAATTAACAAACACCAAATAAAATGAGCATATTTATACCCTTAGTAGAACAGAAAGATCGTACATGAACCTTCAGATCTCTGTTATGTATAGGTTACTTTTCTTTCTTTCTTTCTTTCTTTCTTTCTTTCTTTCTTTCTTTCTTTCTTTCTTTCTTTCTTTCTTTCTTTCTTTCTTTCTTTCTTTCTTTCTTTCTTTCTCTTTCTCTCTTTCTCCCGTTGTCTCTTCCTCCCTTCCCTTTTCTTCCTCCCTTCCTTTTTTCTTTTCCTTTCCTCCTTCCTTTCTCCCTCCCTCCCTGTCTATCAATTTCTTTCTTTCTCTCTCTTTCTCCCTTCATCCCTCCCTCCCTCTGTTCCTTCCTTCCTTTCCCTTTCTTCCTTCCTAACTTCCTTCCTCTCCTTCTTCCTCCCTCCTTCTCTCTCTTCCTTTCTCTGTTTCTCCCTTCCTCCCTTCTCTCCCTTTCTTTCCTCTTCCTTCCTTCCTTGCCTCCCTTCTTTCTCTCTCTTTCCTTTCCTTTCCTTTCCTTTCCTTTCCTTTCCTTTCCTTTCCTTTCCTTTCCTTTCCTTTCCTTTCCTTTCCTTTCCTTTCCTTTCCTTTCCTTTCCTTTCCTTTCCTTTCCTTTCCTTTCCTTTCCTTTCCTTTTCCCCTTCCTTTCCTTTCCTTTATCTTCCTTTCTTCCTTCCTCTCTTCCTTCTTTCTCCCTTCCTGACACTCTTCACTACCCCTTTCACCTACATATTGTTTTTATCTTGACTTCTATGACATTGTTTTCTTCTAATTCTTCTACTTGTCTTATTTTTCCTTTTCTGTGTCCTTTGCTGCTTAATCATCAAGTAAGATAATATTTGTAAAGCACTTAGCACAATGGTATATAGTAGGCACTTATTAAATGCTTGTTCCCTCCCTTTCATACATATGCCATCCTTTAAGTTTCAATGTACCCCAAACTCTGTCTTGAGCCTAGGCTCCAGCTAAACTAGACTGCTGGTCATTCCTTGAAAACATTCTGGGATTTTTTGCCTCTATGCCTTTGTTCCTCCTTTTTTTTCCCATAGAATCATAGATTTAGATCTGAATGGGACCTTAGAAGCCATTGAGTTCCACTGTATTATTATATAGATTGAAGAGATTGAGTTAATTGACTTCTCTAGGGCCACATAGCTAGTTAAATATCTGAGGCAAAATTTAAATTCTGGTCTTCCTGACTGTCTCCCCTTTATCCAGTACTTTCCACTAATGGAACTTAGCTACTTTTTCTTTATCTAAAGTTTTTCCTCCTACTACCAGTCTCTAAATATTGCATCCTACATATGTTTCAGGACTGTTAGGATTACCATCATGTCCTTCTGAAATAAAACAAGCATATTAGACCTGAAAGGGATTTATTAATTTATAATATTATATATGTGTATTTATTATATAAATTATATAATTATGTTATATAAATTATATAATTATTATATAAATTATATAAATTTATTAATTTAGTCTATCCTCCTCATTTTATAGATGATAAAACAGAGACCCAGACAGGTAGAATTAAGGTCAATCAACTAGATGGTGGCAAAAGAGCTCTAGAATCCAAGACTCCTATCCTTGAAGCCATGTCACCTCCCTACACACTGAGCTGGTTCTCAGACTAAGGTGGTTTTCTAGCACCTGGGATTTAGAATGTGGGATTTTCAGGTATCGTCATGTGTCCTCTATTCCAAATGGTTCTGGTGATGAAGCAGCATGGTACAGAGAAAAGAGTGCTGCCTTTGGAGTTAGAAGAAGCATGTTCAAATCCTACCTTTGTTATTTATTGTTTATAAGTTCCTTGAGGGCAAGGGACTGTCTTTTGCTTCTTTTTCATATACCCAGCACTTAGCACAGTGCTTAGCACATTTTTTTTTGTTGTTCAGTTGTTTTCAGTCATGTCTGACTATGTGACTCTATTTGGGGTTTTACTGGCAGATAGTTGGTTTGCCATTTCCTTCTCCTGCTCATTTTACAGATGAGGAAACCAAGGCAATCAGGGCTAAGTGAACTGCCCAGGGTCACACAGCCAGTAAGTGTCTGAGGCTGGATTTGAATTCAGGAAGATGAGTCTTCCTGACTCCATGCCTGGCACATAGCAGGTGCTTAATAAATGTCTATTGAATGTACTGCCTGTGTGATCTTGGGCAAGTCACTTTTCCTCTCTGATCCTCAGTTTCCTAACCTGTAAAATAAGAAGTTTGGACTAGATGACCTGTGAGGTGTTTCTCAATTCATCTCTGAGGTCTATTGGTCCATTAGTTCCACAGGACTGGGTGTGGATAAATCTCTTCTTGAAGGAGTTTAACTAGGTAATGAAGGGAAAAGTAGAACAAACAAACAAAAAAGTGAAGAATTGACAAGTTTATAGAGAATCTATCTTATTCTGTGTTGACAAGACCAAAGGGAGTGTTGGTGCACGTTTGCAGATGATTGTGCACTCAATGCAGCCTCTGAATCTGAGTTTGGCCTGACAATTAACACCAAGGAAACACAGGTGCTCCATCAGCCACCACCACACCACACATACTTGGAACCATCAGTTACAGCAAATGGAGACATTTTGAATGCTGTGGATAAGTTCACTTACCT